CATGGTCTAAAACAAATGTCATACTATAGTATGTCTTAAAAAGTGACACAGAAGTGTCATAGTATAGCATGTCTACAAAAACGACACAAAAACATCATTGTGTAGTATGTTTTTAAAAAATCACCCAAAATGTCATATGTGTATCAAACTGACATTAAAATGTCATAGTATAGTATGTCTTTCAAAAGTGACACAAAAACGTCATAGTATAGTATGTCCAAAAAGACCCCAAAATGTCACTGTATACTTTGTCTAAATAAAATGACCAAAAAACATAATAGTATTGTATCACTTTAAAAAAATGCCAAAAACGTCATTGTTCAGTATGTCTTAAAAAAAGAAAATACACAGAATACTTCATAGTATACTGTATCTCAAAAATGGCACAGAAACATCATATTATAAGTATGTCTAAGAAAATGACATGAAAAAAGCATAGTATAATTTGTCTAAGAATATGACACAAAAACGTCATGGTATAGTTTGTTTTTTAAAAAAAAAATACAAAAACATCATAGTATAGTATGTCATTAAAAAAATACACAAAAATATCATGGTAAAGTTTGTCTTAAAAAATGTTCAAAAAAAAGGTATAGTATGTCTAAATAAATGACCCAAAACATCATATTATAATATTCATTCATGCATTCATTCATCTTCTAACCACTTCATCCTCTTGAGGGTCGCGGGGGGGCTGGAGCCTATCCCAGCTGACATCGGGCGAGCATATTATAATATGTCTAAGAAAATGTCATACGATAGTATGTCTTTAAAACATGACACAAAAACACCATAGTATACTGTAGAATGTCCAAAATAAATGACAAAAGTGTCACAGTATAGTATGTCTAAATAACCAACACGAAACATCATATTATAGTAGGTCTAAGAAAACGACACAAAAACGTCATTGTAAAGTATTTCTTTAATAAATGACCCAAAATGTCAAATTATAGTGTATGTTTAATAAATCACGTGAAAAACATCATTGTATAGTATGTCCTTAAAAAGTGACACAAAAAGGTGAAAGTATAGTATATGTATAAAAATGACATAAAAATGTAATAAATGACACAAAACATCATAGTATAGCATGTCAAATTAACTGACACAAAAATATCATATTACAGTATGTCCTAAAAAAAGTGATTCAAAAAACGTTACAATATAGTATGTCTAAGAAAACGACACAAAAACGTCATTGTATAGTATGTCTTTAAAAAATGACCCAGGACGTCATAGTATAGTATGTGTTTAATAAATGACACAAAATGTCATAGTATAGTATATCTGTAATAAATGACACAAAAACGTCATAGTATAGCATCTTTTTTAAAAAGTGACACAAAAAGGTCATAGTATAGTATGTCTAAAAAATGACACAAAAATGTCATAGTGTAGTATATCTAAATAAATTACGTGAAAAACATCATATTGAAGTATGACTTTAAAAAATGACTTAAAAACATAATATTATAGTATGTCTAAGAATATGACACAAAAATGTCATAGTATAGTATGTCTTTAAAAAATGACACAAAAACTGCATAGTAAAGTATGACTAAAAAAAATGAAACACAAAAACTTCATAGTACAGTATGTCTAAAAATGACACAAAAATGTCATAGTATAGTATGTCTTCAAAAAAATGACACAAATACATCATAGTATATGATGTTTCAAAAATGACACCAAATGTCAATGTATAGTATGTCTAAAAAAATGACAAAAAAATGTCATGGTAAAGTTTGTCATAAAAATGACAAAAATGTAATAGTATAGCATGTCTAAAAAATGGCACAAAAACATCATAGTAGAGTATGTCTAAAAAAAATGACACAAAAATGTCATAGTAAAGTATCACATTAGAAAATGAGAAAAAAAACATCATTCTATAGTATGTCTACAGAAATGACACAAAAACATCATAGTAAAGTATGTAAAAAAAAAAAGACACAAAAATGTTATAGAATAGTATGTCTAAAACAATGACCAAAAATTGCCATAGTATAGTATGTCTAAAAAAATGACACAAAAACATCATAGTATAGTATGTTTTTTAAAAAATGACACAAAACTTAATAGTTAAATATGACTTTAAAAAAAATGAGAAAAACGTCATAGTATAGTATGTCTAAAAAAAAACAAAAAAAAAACGTCGAATTATGTTATGCCTTTAAAAAATGACACAAAATTGGCATAGTATGTAAGTCTAAAGAACTGACTCAAAAACGTGTAGTATAGTAAAAAAAATGGCAAAAAATTATAGTAAATACAAAAATTACACTAAAATGTCATTGTATAGTATGCCATAAAAAATTGCCATAGTATAGTGTCAAAAAATTGCCACATTACACACATCACAAAAAAGTCATTGTATAGTATGCTATAAAGAGTCATAGGTTATAAAAAAGTCTACTACTACTGCTACTACTACTAATAATAATAATAGTAATAAATCTCACTCACCTCTTGTGGAATCACATGAAGATACCTCCATAAGAAACATTCCTCTGTCATCTTCACAATATTAAAAAATTGCATCTAAATATACTATTTGTTTCGCGAACCAATGTCCCCATTGCTTTTTCATTTGAACTACTTTTCGCTTAAGCTGTTTACAATGAGGTCTGTGGATCTTATAATGTTGGGCACCAAAGGGACAAGAAAGCCAAACGCTTTCAAACACAAGTCAGTCTAGTGATCAACATGTTGTGATTACAGTAGAAAGTGGATAATAGTGAAGGCCCTTTATATCAAAAGCTACATGGTTATGAAAGAAAGAATGATATCATCACAGTTCATAAAAAGATAGCTTTATTGCACAAGGTGTTGAGTACTCTTTTTTCTGTTTTTGTTTGTTTTCATAGAAAAGAAAATGTAGAGTTAAACACAAGCAATTGCAAATTGAAGCAATGTTTCCCCATAAAAGTTTAAGGAACAACCTCTGCATTTTTAAAATGTTTTAATTAACCCCCTTTTTAAATTGTTCAATTCACCATTTCCCATTTTCTTTTATAACCAGCAAAATTTTCAGAACATGCAATGCTGCTGTCCTCCCCCAAAAAAGTGGAGTAGTTAAAAAAAAAAGGCAAACTCTAAATCAAGCAACCTGTGACAAAGGAAAAAAAGAAAAGGATTAAAAAAATAATTTAAAAAAAGGAGACAATGCAACCAAATGTCCTGTAAAAAAAGAAATAAATATTGTTGTTAACTATGCATGGTCCACTCTGACATGTTTCAACTGGTCCATAAATCAAGATAAAGCAGTGTCTGTATAATTCTATAGTTTTTCATTAAGTCCTCTTCTGTTTCATTACAATAACTTCAGTTCAAAGTTTACATTGTGCCCTGGTTTCTAGTGAAGATGTCGAAAATAGTACTCATTTATACAAAACACTTTCCTATGTACACGAGTCTTCTATTATGGAGTAGAAATAATGTTGTATATGTGGACAAGGGGTACAGTGAGAGGGGAAGATCTGATTGGTTGAGCAGATGTGGGAAAGGTTGGGGAAGTAGCGCATGTGAAGTTAACCTCATGAACACAGTCTGAGTCAGTTTGAAAAGTATGTTGTTGTATATTAAGAAAAAAATCCACCCTAAGTTAACCATTAGTCATTGAAATATGGCAGATGTATGTCCTAATGTTAAGACAGGCTGCTGCCAAAACATCAGCATGCTACCACATTCAATAAGGGGGGAAAGTACTGTGCTATAAAGCACTGGTGTACAGTATGGTGACTAATTCCACACAGCAGTATGGTTTGCAAATAGCCTCAAAAGCAAACCAAAAAAGGGTCAACATCTGGAATTATTTAATTGTTGCCTAAAAAATATTTCATGATTGTAGGAGGACACAAACAAAGTCCAGAAGTCAGGATTGTTCACCAAAGTACTCCTGCAATACTGTGTGAAGTTCACATAAGGCTGTTTAGAATTCAATACACAAAAATACAAAAAAATACTCTATATAATATTTAAAATATGTACTGGGAAAAAATTAAAGGAATAATTTGACATTCGGGAAATATGATTATTTGCTACAGAGTAAGATAACAAGATTGGAATAGCTAGCTTGGTTCTGTTCGTAGGTAACAAGAACCACAGAGCTCACTAATTAACACGTCATATTTAAATTGTTTAATCCATGCAAAGTGTCTGCTGGTTGCCTGGCAACCTCACAATGAGGACAAGCCTGGCTGAACCACACCTTAACATTTTTACACTTTTTTGTACAGAATATTTTTATGTAACGCTCAGCAAAAATGCAAATATGCATCTTTCCCGAAATGTAAAACCGCTGTTTTAAATGTTACATATTGTTAATATTCTCTGTTACGATCAAAAAGTGTCAGAAGGTGGACTTTTCTTTAAAGGTATACATCACATACACTTTGAGCAAACTGACAGCAGATCGGTGTTTTATAGTAGAGGCAACTTCACTGAAGAATTGGGGGAAAGCAGGTCGGACAGGAGTTTGTTTCATCACTCCATCCAATATCCATACAACTGGAGTAAGGAAGCCTCTGTTTTTGGTTGCTAAAACAGGCCTACCCCATTCCCAAACCCTTGTTTTACTGAAAACAAGTTCTTGAAACATAAAGGCCAAAAGGAAAGGCATCATAACCAGTAGCAACGGAAAGCTAAATTAATTTCTCTCCTGTCTAGTTTTAAACTTAAAGGGAGCATTAATACGTATATGAGGAGATATAATTGTTACTGTGCGGTATGTTTATTGGCCTGCAGTCCCGGAGTTTGGGCAGGACTCGCTATGACACAGATAAGAAACAGAAATACTCGTCGGTCTGTTTGTCTTCATTAATAATAGTCAGGTAATGGCATTGAGTTTGTGAACACACCTTTGGAAGGTACAACACAACATATTACAATAGGCTCACTTACTGTATAGGCTGTCCTTGTTTTACGGTTTTCTTTTTCAACACCACACTTTCTGCACTGAGCCATAGACCACAGTTAACCAGCGACACAATCTCACACTATAGTTTGACTTTACTGTGCTTGTCCTCCCAGCTGCGACCCGCTGCACAGGTGCTGCAGCCGGAACATTTACAAAATCACAAGGGGGGGGTCATTGTATCATTCCTCAAACCTCAGTTTCACCATTTAACTTTCGTTCACACCGCCTCCTGTCTCTCCAAGATCTCCCGTCCATGGTTGTGCTACCCGTTTAAGCCTTCCTCTTCTTTTTCTTCCTTCCTTCTTGCAGTTTTTTCACTCTGAGCGATTGTCTTGTGATCTTTTATATATATTTTCAATTAGAACGGCTTTTATATTTCTCTGCTTTTTTCAATATTCATATATTTGCTATATATTTGAATAGAAATATATATGTACATACTTTTGAAAACAAACATATATCATATCTTTTTTTCTATTGCGAGAGCCCTGATGTTACGTTTTACCATTGCAAAACATTTGGAGCAACTCTTTTTGGAACGATCTTTGTTATGGGATTAAGCTTTGGGAGAAGAAATGGGAAAAAAAATCATAATGAACTCAAAGTTGGCAGATACAGTACCATGCATAAAGCTAAAATAAATTTCAGTGAGGTGGAGGGACTTGAAAACACATTTTTTCGTTTTGAAGACCACTTATTTCTCTCTGCTATGTAACCCCCCTCTCCCCGTTTCCCTAATACAACTGCAAACTCTATCAACACTTGATCTCTCTCTGTCAATAATCTCAAAGTCATTGTCCGGTCATAAATTCAAGATCACTTCATACAAATATGATTTTTCTTGAATACATCATCTGAATAAATTTGCTGCATGTTTGCAACTTGTCAAGTTGTCATTGAACGTCAAGTAGCATTTCTGCCTGTCTGTGCATATTAGACCTCTTCTCTCAGTCTGTCTGTCTTTTCAACTAGCCGGTACGCTAGCAGTAGGTCACAGTGACACTGTATGGATATGATGGGGGACTGGGTGCGTAGGAGTGAAGGTGGGGAAGGATAGAAATGGGTAAAATGGGTACAGGTAAAATGAGTTAAAGAATAATGGCATTGTGGCGCCATGGTGGATCATAAAAGGGTATCTTCCTTTGTTCTGAGGAAGCAAAAGAAATGAACCTCTTTCATCTGTAATTGCTCTCCTTTGAACCCACTCCCTATTCAAAATTTCTCGTCCTAAGCAATGCTGTCAATCACTCTTAATAAAACAAAGTTCAAAATGCTGGTCCAAATTAGGATCATAGTGTTACATTGTCAGCATCATCATTGTTACTATCCCCGAATCCCCTTTCACAGGTACAAAATTAACAGTGAAGAGGGCGGGGGAATTTCAGTTATGACACAGACATCTGCCCGAGAGGTCAGCATACAGATTGATTTTAAAAAGGTCCACTGTTGGTGTGTGCCTGCCACATGTATACATATATATATTTACACATATACACCCACACGCACACACACGCAGGCTTGTGAAGGTTTCTGTTACTTGGATCCATTCTAACATTTTCTTAGTGCACATGAGATTATATTTCCATCATCAGAAAATAAACAGAAAACTGATGGAAAAAAAAAAAGTTTGGATTCATCTTTCACTTGATGATGCTTGACTTTTTTTTTTTTCCTCTGATTTGAGTCTGTTTATAAAAGCATCAATTAAGACCACTATGCTGTGTCATCCATTGCATGAATAAGAAAATTCTCCACATCTCAAAACTGGTATTGAGACGACAGTCCTTCCACTGCCTCTAATGTGTGAATCCATGATGGAGTAACCTCTCAGAGCCAGTGTAACACCAAGGTTGGTGGTTTATGCATACAGTAAAAGCATCCTGCCATGGCACAATGCTGTGATATGAGCTCTTCTTCCATCAGAGAACAGAAAATTAACATATTTAAAAACCTAAAAACCTCAAAAACTCAAGCAACCTGGTTCATTCTACGACTGTCTTGATCCAGAAAACAAGACAGTGCACGTGGAAAGCATTTTGTGCATTAGTACTGTGTCCTTACCAGAAAATGAAAATATGAAGTGAACAGATAAATCATTTATGTTTTGGCAAGTGATGTCCGGGGTGATGAAATTAGGGATAGAGAAAGATGACACAATAATAATAGAAAGCAATCAGGCAGAAAGAAAGGCAAACCCCTGTGCTGTGGAGACCCAACTCTGACCCCTTCATACAGTAGTGTCAATGGGAACCCAACCAGCCCCCTGCAGCCTGGCACAGCGCAGGCACTGACGGGTCAGCTGTGTATGTGTATGTTCCTCATCCCACTTTTCCATAGAGGCTCCAGGCAAGCGCTGGCTTGACCAGCATTCTATTAGGAGTTACAGTGACAAGCCGCAGTGATGGCAGGCTACACCAGTGTGTATGACTTGGAGTAGGCCCCTGCCCCTCCATCCCTCTGCTTCTGCAGTCTGCCTAAACCCGAGGAGCTGCTCTCCAGAAGAGAGTCTCTGGATCCTCCCATCTTGGAGGAGGATGAGGAGGCACCTCCAGGAGTCCCTCCCGTGGCACCGGAGGATGATGATGCAGCAGCTGCAGCAGTAGCAGCAGCAGCTGCGGCTGCACTCTGGGCCACTGAGGCAGAGGAGCCTGGCATGGTGAGAGTCCTCTGGGGAAGTGTGGAGCTGCTAGAGCTAGCAGACGCTCCCCCACTACCTCCACCACAGCCCCCTGTTGCTCCTCCAGAGGAAGCCCCAGAGGAAGTGAGGTTGGAGAGGCCAGAGTGGCCCATGCTTAGGGCCTGCTGCTTTGCAGAGTCCATAGTCACGTGACGGCCCTGGGTGTGGTATGCCCTCTGGGCCAGGCCACGAATAGAGGCTTCACGTGGTGGAACCACTGGACATGGGTCATGATGCTCCGACTGCTTTCGGAAGAAGGGATCTGACTTCATGTAGAGGGGTAGGTTGCAGTAGTCACCTGGAGGGGAAAAGTTAAATTTAATGTGACTGCCAAAATCTGCAAAAGTCAAAACCTATTGCTGATAATCATGGAATAATGTTATGAAACTGCACATTTATCTACACTGAGGATTGCACTGGACTAACAGATATGTTTGCACACATACAGAACATTACTTCACCTCGAAACTTAATTGTTCATGTGTATTAGTATATAGCTGTATAATAAAAAATTGTATCTACAATTGTTTTATGACACCCTTTTTAATATATTTTCTCCAGATGTCTGGTCTTATTTTTCTATTTCTATTGCTGTTATTTATTTATTTATTTTGCTCCAGTGACACCAAATCAAAGTAATAGTGCACATTAAGTGGGTCAGTAAAGTCTGATTCTGATTTATTCATAATGCTATTTCAACTATATGTATAGCCATTTTAAATTTAAAATGCCATTTAAAAAAGAATTCTTGAAAAAAAAAAAAAAGCTCTGCAGCAACCACTCACTCTTGGCGCGGTGTGGAATGGGCACAGCTACATTCTTGCCACGGTCATAGTCCTGGGGTTTGGGTGGCGAGGCAGTGAAACGGCAGATACCAGGCTCTGACGGTGTGCTCATGGATGTCATGCTGTCTGCATTGTCATTGGTACCTGTGGTCATCTGATCAGATGAGCTGTCAGAGATAAAGCACTCAGTAATCTCAAATTTGGCATGCTGCAGATGCTCCTCTAGCTTGGCATGCTCATATGCTCTTGCCAACTCCTCGTAGGTGGAGGAGGCGCTCTCTGTCGACACCATGCTGTTCCGACCCTTATCTGTGAAGGAGAAAGGAAAAGAAATAAAGTTAAGCACATTTTTTTCCCAGTTGTACAAATGCTTTTTTGAGGTGAAGCCCACTGCAAAAACACACTCTCCTCCACAGTGGAAGAACAGGCACACTTCTATGTGCATGTTAATGGCTGTAAGTGTCATTTCACCCATGTGCCAACCTGTGTCCTGTGAGAGGCTGGCACTGTAGCTGTCACTCTCTGTGACAGTGATGCCATGCTGGGAGCCAACTGTGCGCCAGTCTGAGGTGAGAGTGCGGGCTGGCGTGGAGGCCTGACACTTGGTCAGAGTCCACTGACTGGAGTAGCGGTTCCTGATGCTGTGGGCTGACTTAACACTCTTCCTCGACACTGGGTCTGGTGGTAAGTGGATGAAGAAATAAGATGGATGTGCATAGGAACAGAGGATGTTTAAAGGACTACTTCACCTTCACCCTTCACCCTGCATATCAGTTAGTCATGGCGTACTTCCTTGGATTTGTGAAGAAAGCATACTGATTTATTGATTGATTGGCGACTACATTAAAGGCATGTGGGAAAAATACAGCTTTCCTCACAAATTCAAACACATAGGGCATGACCTATTGATTTACAAGTGGTCATTTTGTGGGTGAAGCACTCCTTTAAAGCCAGGAAAACGAACAAGTAATTGCAAAACAAACGTCTTATCTTCACATTCTACACTACACACTACAATACTAGTTCATTTGGACTTTTATTGATAAAATGGACAGCGAGAATCAAGAGCACTTACTGGTTCCTGGTCTGATGTCTGACATGTCAATCAAAGGACCGGTGTTCTGGATGAGGGCAGGGTGATGGACGGAGACGCCTGTGCAGAAGCTCTGAGGGTTCCCAGTTTGGTTGAACTCTGTGTCTGTCACAGGGATAGTGGCTTTGTCCTCACCTACAAGACACAGAATAAATTATTTAGAAAAGCTGCTGTTGCAGATTTTAAAAAACTAATGACTGTAACTCCATAAAGATCATCTGATCAAACACTCTCACACAGACACATGAACACGCAACTCTCTCCTCCTCTCACCAATTTGCTTGATGCCTTCTTTGTCCTCAATAAGCAGCTGCACTCTGGGGATGTCGATGTGTAACCGTGGGCCCTGAGGTGGTCCCTTTACTGGGGTGTCAAAGCTGCGGTTGTTTTTACTAATCCAGAGATACAAGAAAGCATGCACACAAATATTCACAGTTAAAAAAAAAATAAAAAAATGTGGATTTGTGAAATGAATTTGAGGTTACAATGAAGTATAATACAGACAGATTTTATGAGAAGGATTCAGAAATAGCAGTCTTACCTGATGAGCATCTCTGCAAGGCTTTTGGCATCTACAGAGAGCAGAGAACGTCACAAATTATTTATTCCTGACACACAAATCAATCTTTTAAAATAAATGCAACTCTCAAGACTTCATTCACAATTCTCTCTGAAGTCTCCTTCAGGAGTCTCTCGGCTTTGTTCTTCCTACCAATGCCTTCCTACCACTTGTCTCCTCTTCTTTTACTTCTTCCCTTACCTCTGAGTCTCTTCAGCCTCTTTTCTTTGCGTTTCTTGCGGATTATGAAGAGCAGCGCAACACCCAGGGTGACCAGGATGACAGGACAGCCAATAGAAAACAGCTTCTTGACGTCATCGTTTTTTTCCAGGGGGGATTTAATTGGTGGAATTGTGCCTGCACACAGGAAGAGCAGGGATTAGTTACTGCACTTTCACAACATTAATTAAAAGTACCAAGTGTATTCATTTTCTTTTTAAAGGAAGCAGACAATACCAAAGAGAGTCTACTCACTGCCATCATAGTCCAGTGTTGCAAACTGGGAGCTTTGGTTGCCACAGCCAGCGCTGTTACAGGCTTTCATCTTCAACTCATACCAGGTGGCCTCACGCAGCTCTGCCAGGAACACATCTGTGGTGGCATTGGTACGTACATTCTGCCATGCCCATGTACCTGCATCAAGCACACATACCAATGTCTGATCTCTGCTGATTGGTTTCCATTAAAAGATGGCTTGGCTGCTAACAATACATTTCTTTGTCCCACAAGCAAACTTTTCCGATTTGATTTATTACACGATATCTCAAAATATTATGCAAATTACAAAAGGAGTGGAGGAGAGGGAAGACTCACCTTTTGGTCTAAACTCGAGTGTGACAGCACTGATTGGACAGCCACCACTGGCCCAACCCTGCAGGTTGAGGCGGGCGTGGCTGGAGTTAATGTGAGTGAAGACAGGCTGATCCTTGTTGAACTGGGGTTCTGTAAAAGGAGCAAAATCATCATGTACTGTCTGTCGGTTCAGATTATTACTGTGTCATTTAACAGGTAATTGGGGAAACATGAGACAACATAAGCAGACGTATGTGTTGACAGTGTGCATATGTACAATAGCTTGAGCAGGTCTAGCAAAAATATGTCACTAAATCTATTAAATATCATTTAATTATAAACATAAATATGCAAATGCTTCACCCGGTCACTGGTAAAACACAGTAATCGTCAACTGTAATATAAGACATGATGTTTTTATGATCAGTTGTTGTTATTCAAATGGCAACGGTAAATGTGAATGAAAGTCCCAGAGCAATTCACTGCCTGTAAAAATCCTTTATGAGCCACTGTGGGTATAACACAAGATGTACAAAGACCTGAATTTTAGGAGAAAACAGGAACCCTTTTGTGTCTGCAGGTTTAAAAGTCTACCCTGTGTCGGGGCGTTGGTGGCTTGGTGGTGGAGCAGGTGCCCCATGTACAGGGCTGTTGCCGCAGCGGCCCGGGTTTGGGTCCGGCCTGTGGCCCTTTGCTGCGTGTCATCCCCTCTCTCTCTCCCCCTTTCACACTTAGCTGTCCTGTCCATTAAAGGCAAAAAATGCCCAAAAAAATATCTTTAAAAAAAAAACAAAAAGTCTACCCTGTGTCGATATAAAGGGTCCAGCATGACTTTTCCCCTTAATATACCCCTGCTGATTTCCATCATCATCAGTTCCAGGCTTCTCACCTCGCCCATGGGTCTTTGCCTCAATGATCTCACTGATGCGTCCGGCTCCAACGCTGTTCTTTGCAGCCAACTTCACTTTATACCAGGTGCCACAGCGCAGGTTGTCCAATTTGAAGGAGCGTTCAGTAGAACTGATGAACACATCTTTCCATTCCTCTGTGTTGTCTACCGAGTACTGCAGCACAAAACCTGCATACACACAAAAGAAGCACAATAAATATTATTTTATTGCTTTATTACATAATTTTCTTTCATTTACAGATAACACCAAGAACTCATTTTGCACCAACCTTAGTACACTTTATGACATTGGTACCTTTACTGTCCACAAGATGGCAGTGTCACACTGTACTTCTTTTCCCCAGATGGGCTCCGATTGGAGGACGGTCTAGCTGCTCTCTGTCTATGCCGCCATTAGTTACCTACAAACCCCAAGACTGGGATGGCGCTGACTGAGCATCTATGCAAATGAGGGTATGCAATGTGGTGTCTGTTTTTATAATCAGCTGCCTTGGAGAGCCAACTCCCTGCTGCTCAGAGACACTTTACATCTAATCCTCCATCTCTGTCTGTCTTTCCTTCTGTCCGTATATAATCATGTGAATGTCTCCCTCTCTGTGTTTCTTTGTACTCTTTGTACCATCCTTTTTCCCTCCCTATCTTTTTAACAGATGGTGCGATAGAGTCCAAAACATTAGAGGGGTTAACATGTGCAGATCCTGCTGTGTTGGTTTAGAAGTTTTATAGTCACCCTCTGTCTGTCACAGAGCAGAGAGAACAGTAAAGGGACAGCACAATAACACACTACTGTAGAACAGAGGAGAGCATAGCATCATTTGTCACTGCAATTTCACATGCTGCAAAAAAGGCCTCATAACCAGCCATGCTAACATGTTTTATCTGTAAAGGACTATTGTGCAGAAGCCACTGCAGTAGTGTTGCAAAATAGATGCTTGATGGGGACTGCTGACACTGTGCAGATGGCTCCACAGACAGACAGGCATTCTGGTACACACACCAGATATACAGATAGGCTTCACTGATGTATGAGACACTGGATGATGTATGCAAAATACTGGTTTGGTGGACCATCAGTATTTGAAGCTGCACACTCAACACATTACATTACATTACTTCCTGCTTGTGTGTGTGTAATGCATGCTTTCTCCGGGACTTCCTGGCAGGATGCGAACCCACATGAGTAACAGGGCTGCAGCTAACGATTATTTTCATTGTCGACTAATCATTTTATCAAAAAATGTGTTAAAATGTTGAAAAATGTTGGTCTGTCTCTCCCAAACCCCAAAATTATGTCATCTAATGTCTTCTGTCATACTCATGCCAAAGAGTTTTAGTTCACCATCATGGGAGAGTGTGTAAAGCTGCCAATATTTGAACATAAGAAGCTGCAATAAGAGTATTTTGAGGTACTTTTATAGTACTTTTCTATGAAAAATGACTCAAACCGATTAGTCGACTACTAAAATAGTCACAGATTATTTTAATAGTCGATTAGTCATTGATTAGTTCAAATCGTTGGAGCCCTAATGAGTAACACAAAACATTATATTGTTCCAGCTTATGGCAGCTTTAAAATATATCTGACCGAATGGTTTGACAAATGTGATCTCATGGCATTTCTTCTTCAGACATTTCTTCAGTAATGACGTGGGTGCAGTTCTGTCTTAAAGAAATACTTCATCCCCAGAACGGTCATTTGTATATCAGTTACTCACCCCGTGTAACAAAATGAGGAATATCCAAAAACTGAGAAAATTCTTGATGAACTGAAGTAAAATAGAGCTGTGTTCACAACAGCAAAACTATATTAAAACAAAAACGCATGTGTTTAGGAGGTATTGAGTGCATGACTGGATGAATTAAATGTGGATTATACTGCACAAGCTATGTGAGAGTTTGAAAATTGATTTTTTTGCTGTTAATTCTCTCCATTTCTGGATTCCTCATTCACTGTGGAAGCATTTGAGAAAACACAAGGCTTTCTTCATGAATTCAAAGTAATACAGCATGGCATGGGTAATTTATATACATGACAATGATTATTTTGGGGGTGAAGTGTTCCTTTAAGCCACTTGCTTTATAGCTTCATAGGGGTATAAAGAGCAAAAAGGAGTCAGACAGATAACCCTGGAAAACCATCAAACTGACAAACAGCATGAATGAAGAAAGGGGATTGAAACCATGTTTGCATGCATGCCCATTCAGGCACACACACCATGCCTATCTTCACACAGAAATCACCAACAATCAGATAATCAAACAGACACACAGTTAAAAAGGAAACATAAAACCACAAGAAAAATCAATAAAGTAATACATCAGTATTCACACCAACAATGTCTCAGATAAAAGAGAAGGAAAAGACAGACAGGTGGTGAGCTAAGATCAGAAGTCAAAGGGAAATATTTTTCATTTGCTCACATTTTAAGCATTAACACAGCTTCATAAACTCCAGCGTATACCTTTAGACACGTTGGCTATGGACGAGACGAATGAGATGAGAATATAAAGGAAGAAAGACATAAAGACAGCTTCTTGTGCAGGGCCACGTACCTCTGATAGAGCTGCCTCCATTGTCTCCAGGTATCCAGGCCAGAGTGATGGAGGAGGTGGAGGTGGTGGAGACGGTTAGACGAGGCTGGTCTGGAGGGACTGAGGAAGAAACACAAAGTTATCAGGTTCTTTTTGAGGTAAAAAAGTATTTATTACTGTATTTCAGCCAGGACAGCAGGCCTATAAGTGAGGTGCACTTATAGCTGAGTGGACTAAATGAAATAACCTGAAACATGTACGTAGGTATTTGAACTCTGATTCTTTTCCTACCTTGTACCAAAAGGTTGACAATGATAGTGTCAAAGCCCAGTGTGTTGGTGGCTGTGCAGGTGTAGTAACCAGAATCTTCAGCTTTGACAGAGCGCAGCACCAGTGTCCCATTAGCCAGAATGAGACGCTGTCCATCTAGAGACACTGGGATGGCTGTGTCCTCGCTGAGCGTGAGACAAAGAGAGAATCATGGAAGGATCTCATCAAAGACTCTTACTAGATTTTGACAACAGGTTATTTATTTTGTTTCTACTGTTACTTAAAAACCAGAGAGCTGCAAAGCACTTTTTATAAAGATGTACTACCTATATAAGATTATTCCAGCATATTGCCACATGAACAAATACCCATCTGCAAACAATATCTGACTTTCTCTTAAACCAACTGAGAGATGCATCAATACTAATTCAATTTTAGGGCCCTGACACACCAAGCCGTCGGCATCAGAGACAGTGGAGCCCATCGATGAGAGAAATCCCTCTGACTGGCAGTTCAACTAAGTGCACAGAAGAGAAATGGAAGTAAGGAAAGCAAACAAGTGACGAAAGCCAAGAGTACACAAGAGGAAACAAACTTATTATATTAGCTAAGATTTTTTTAGCCATTGAGCTCTTTAGCAGAAATGGTTTGGAATTGTTTGCCATTTACAGGTGCACAGTAAGTATTGTGCTCTTTCAGCAATCTGTTTGTGCTGTTAATGTGCTAACTGGCTAACTAGCATCTTGAATCCGTCCTGTCGGCCTTTTAGTCTCCCTTTTTAAATGACCAATACATGACGACTACTGCTGCCTGTTGGTTTGAAATTGTATCATCACACGCAGGAGCAGAGTGTATGTTCTAGTTGGCTGTTGCTGCAGTCTTTGTCTTCTGTGTGTTCAGGTGCAACTTTTTGGTCAAGATACAGGCAACACAGCTGTCTGCCTTTGTCACCACTAGTTCTTTGATGTCGGTTTGGTGTGTCTGGGTCTTTAAAGGTATCACAGCAGCACCATAAACATTTCTAGGAAGGATTCTCACCTGTCTTTGGTCCATTTTATAGTAGGTGTAGGTTCTCCTACTGAGCTACAGGGCAGCCGCACCTCCTTCATCCAAGGAGTAGTCACTGTGCCCCCAAATGACAGGATCTTAGCAGGAGCTGGTGGAGGATGAAAAGAGGAATGTGAAAATTAAAGGTTTATAGAGACAGAGCAATTGAAAAAAGACCATTAGAGCTATTGGCATTAACGCTTACACAAGAAAGGCAATGGCCTAATTAATGTCTACCAATCGGTTAATCTCGCCATTGTCAAATAAACAATTTTCAAACCCGATAAACAAATGCTGTAGAGGTTTCGGAATGTGTTGAATCAATACAGAAATGTGATGGTTGATATGCAATTGATTTGTTTTCCATTTGGGATTCTTTCAATAAAAACGATTTACTACTAGAGGGTGTGCGATGTATTTACCGTGACTCACACTTGGTGGGAAAGAAATCTGTGTTAAATGTGACATTGTGCAGCAGAGAATAGCATATAAATAAGAATATAAGAAAGGAGAAAGATTGAGCAGAGAGGATATGAAAAAAATATCCATCCATTCAGGCACATAACCCTCTTATTCTCTGTCACTCCCCCCACCCGCTCTGTCTCTCTTTCTTTCTCAAGCTTGGCATCTTAATGCAAGTGCTCTAGTGCACTTATGTTAAGGTTGAATGAAGTATTGAGTGGGCAAGCCTGGAGGACACTGCCTTTTACAGCTGCCGATCAGCTGACGCACCCACCCGTACGGGCACACACATATGCACTCGCAAACCTTTGCACCCAGCAGTCAAAGGAACGAATAGATACAGGAAAGGTTAACATGGTGGGAAGTGCGCTCTATTCATTCTCACTCCCTTATTCTTCCTGTCTTTTAATCCAAAGCCTATTGATTTAACTGCCCTCTTCATTTTCTTAAACACTATGCCTCTCTATTGTCTTGTGTATTAGTTAGCTCCTGTCCTGCCATTTTCTCTCCTCTTTTTTCCCCTCCACCTTCTGTCCTCCCTTTTGCTTCCCCTCTTATCATTTCCCCGATTCAGGCCGGTTTATGTGTTGCCCTCTGAACTCTGAAATCAATAGCACAAGCTCTTAAACACATAAACAGGGGGAGAGGTTGAAAAATATGCAGAGAAAGGTTATATAGAGCAAGTGACAGAGTAAGAGGGAGATTATTTGCAGATTCATAGAGTCGTGAAGGATGTAGAGCAAAACATCCTTTAAAAACTGTATTTTTAGTTCATGGCATTGTCAGTAAGAGGCTTGAAGAGGAATACTAGCAGTGTTGTAACAGTTCCTAAGAGACAGAGACGGCAGAGAGACAGAGAAAAACAAGGACAGTGTGGTGTCATCAACCCAACAACCACTTATTTTGTGTTTTGGAGGTAAAAAACCTATCAGATGTGTTGGGTTAAATCTGGCTAAATTTGTTCGGAAAGTTAAAGTTTGCCACATAAACATGTTTGAAATGCATTCCAATTACAATATTTCAATGTAAAGCAGTGTGTTAATACCAAGCGGCAACCTGCAAGTCTGAAATTGCAGTCAATGCAACTGCAATTCTTTGAATGGCCACTTGAGGCTTACTACAAAAGTGAGTCAGCAGAAATAAACATGTTTACAGCCTGGTACAAAAAATGGTTTTGGTCTCTATAGCTTACTTTCCCCTTCATGACAGCTGTGCAGGGGGTTAATTTTTATATAACTCACCTGTTTACATTTTATTAAGGCTTAAAGTTATGCTTAATTAAGGGCGGGCCACTTTGAGTGAGTCTGCCGATTTTGTCCTTGAATTCTGTCAGATCCACCCCTTGCTCCTCCACAGTGCCAGCCCATCATCCAATTATACTATATACTATATTATATTATGTATTCACCTCTGGCTCCAAAAACAAAGATGGCGGCAGCCTAAATGCAGAACTCAATGCTTCAAAACGGGAGTCCACAAACCAATAAGTGATGTCACGAGAGCTACGTCCATTATTCTATATAGTCTATGGTTAATATACTTTGAAATAGAGGCAATTGAAAGAGTACTCCATCTATTTAGCACTGCACTTCTATAACAATGTCAACACATGATGGATAGTTAAAATAAAAACCTTAAATTATGCAACAGAACAAGACATATCTTTTTATTTCAGGCATTCCTCCTCATTGTCAAAACCTGCCGCCTACATTATCCTAGATGCAACCTGAATGCAGACAGATCAGGTAGTGGTTTCCTGTGTGTTATGCTCGCATCAGCTAATGTAGCCTACTGCCATTAGCCTCAAGGAGATTAACAGTGGGCTGGAGGTCTGGTAAGTTCACTTCCTTTTAACTCCACGCATCCATTTTTGTTTTATTTCCAAACTTGTAGTCAAACCCTGCATTGTAATCACAAAAAAAATGGACACAGAAAAGTGCAACGGAGTGGTCATTAAAGTCAGAATTCTACCTCCAATCAGCACACATCGTGAACCATAAGCAGAGATGCCTTTTTAGCATTTATTTGACTTTAAATTTTATGTTGTGTTTGTGTAGTGAAACTTGATAGAAGTCTTTGAGAGGATGCATAGCTCATCTCCATCCACACAAAATCAATGCACATAACAACTGTGTAGTACTGGCTGTGGTGATTCACACTACGATTGACACCCATTTACACTTTTTTTTGAGTTGTATATACTTCAATGAGCAAAGATGGGCATGACAGTTGGCTCATTTTATACGGCATTTCTCTTTCCTTAATGTTGATGTGGTAATTGATGTAGATCTTGTGTAGATGCTTGCAATAGATTGCAGCATTCAACCCTAATCATCGCTGACTCAAGTGACGTCACGTGAGGCATATATAACACGGCACCCACTGGAGACACAAAAGGTTCTATACAACTTTCTCATTGCAGTAGCACTCCCATAGACTTCAACATGCACTTTTCTCCTTTACTGTGAATGCTGTTGAAAAGGTTGGTAAACAGTAACTTAGATGGCTGAAAAACATTCAGTTTTCAACCAAAATTTGCCCAGTTTGTACCCAGACTCCTATGTGTCTTTTGTCTTGCAAATGAGCAAAATCATGTTCAGTGGGCATCCAGTCTCTCATAATGAATCTGCCTGTCACATTCAGGGACTCACCCTTGGCCGCTGGCTCCACAGTGACCTTGTCGCTGTAGTTACCCCGACCTGCAGTGGTGACAGCTGCAGCCCAGATCAAGTACTGCTGCCGGTGGTTGAGGTGAGTGATTCTGTAGAACAGCAGCTCTGGGTTGGCTTCATACTCACTGGGCAGCTGGGGAGAGCAGGAAGAGGAAAAGGAAAGTGTTAATCTCGAAGGAACTGCAGGAGCAATATGTTGTATAAAACAGAACTGAGCACAAACCAAACATCTTACATGTCAAGAAATGTTATGTAAAAGGTTGCAGAACTGAAACTTCTCCCATGTGCCAAGCTTGTAGGAGAACTATGGTGGCCTGCATGAAAAGGGGGAATGGCCCTATCTAGAACAAGAGTTTGGTTTGTCTAGTTTGGGCTGCTGTAGAACAACATGACAGACTCCGTGGAGGAAGACCAGCTCCATATGTAGATATAAACAGCTCATTCTAAGGCAGTGGTTCTCAACTGGCCACGTGGCCCACATTTTCCTTAGTCATTAGTTCAAGGTCCCCACAGCTTAATATATTCTGCGTCATACTTGCGTTTTGCTATGTTGTGGAGCTAGTTTGCTGTCTCCGTTAAGTAGCTGTCCATTATTCACTCACTCTACAACAAGAAACAGCACTTCAAAATAAAAACTCCAAAATAAAGTGTGTTTTTTACAAACTTGACACATACGCAAGTCACTTGTGGTTCAATCAGAATGGACCTGCGACCCACCAGCTGGGAACCACTGTTCTAAGGTAACGAAAAACACAGCAATTCTTGGTTTCAGGTGATTGTCAACAAAATGAAAACATAGTTATGAATACTACCATTGCTACCTATAGATCCCCCTAAATCCGACACACTGGACCTTTGAGTATTGAAAATATTCTCAAAACAAAAAGATTTTCTCTGGGAACTAGTGGAATTTTGTGACATGATTAAAAAAAAATAAATACATTTTAAGGACTCTGTCTTTCATATCACAAAATCTGTGTTGTATCATATGTGCTAAAAAGTACAAAGTAAAATGTCAGGGATGCCAAAGACAAGATTATTTTGTCACTTTACTGGAGAGGCAGACGTAATGTGAAGGACCGAGTGAACATCACTGTAATGTGAACCAAGCCCTGTATTCTCTCCTTGACTCAGTACGACAGGCAAAGAGTGGAGGATGGGGATGAAGGTACAGAGGTTCCTGGGCATGTTATATTATGACAAGGCAAAAAAAAAACCCTGCTCTCCTCCTTCCCTCCCCCGGAGGAGAGAGAGGCAAGAGGGTTGAATTGGGGGGGGGGGGGGTGAAGCCCACTCCCTCTCCTCAGGGAGGGCAAACAGAGATATGAGACGGAGAAAGACAATGGGGGACAGACAAATGAGTCAGTCGGAGATATCACGAACAGTCATACACTAATGAGGCCTATCTAGTGCAGGCATCAGTAATGACGGAGAGGAGTCCAATAAGCAGACGGAGAAAGAGGAACGGATACACACAAGCAAGCACACAAACACATACATGAATAAACTGACACACACAGACACACACATACAGTGGCATACATGACCTGGAGGTGGATGTGTAATTGCAGTGTGTTTAACCCAGCCATGTGTCTGCTGTCTAGACATATATGCATCACTGTCCCTTCAACACACACAGAGACACACACACACACACACATACTCGCACAGAAACACTCTTTTTTTACTGCCTGCCAGTCACTATTCACCTACCCACCAATTATACCCTTATTCCCTCAACTCCTACTCTTCATCTACTCCTCAGGTATCCCAACACCCAGGTACACACACACACACACACACACACACACACACACACACACACACAGAGCTCTGTCTGTTACTGTGCAGCTGATCTCAGCTATGTATAGAAGAATAGGAGAAATAAAACACAATCACAAATTTAACACACGCTGCAAAGTAACACTCACTGCCGCCCTCCAAATCACATGTTTCACTACAGTTTGACACTGACTTGCGTTTCTGACTGACAGGCACTCATGCACGCAGGTGAAATGAAGACTGCAATACGAGTGTCAAATGGTTTGAAGAGTCAGTAAATGCACAAGACCTGTAAAACCTGCGAAGAAGACACTGCAGTGTTGCTGAGCTCTAGCCTGCTGGGTTGTTGTCTGCAGAACGGTTTATTCTGGGCAAATAGATTCCAGTATTCATGTTGTTTTTCACATTTATGAGCAGGCCGTCATGGAGGAATCCACTGGGCTTTTTATTACTTCCCTGTGTTCCCTGTTCATCATCCATTCCTCTTGTCTCCGTCCTTTTTTTGTATTTTCCTCTCTGCCTATCCTTTACCCCACTGTGCCATCCTTCCCTTCGCCTCCTGCCATCACTCTTCATCCCTCCCTTCATTTCCTTGCCCCTCTCCACATTTCCCTGTCATCCGTGGGTCCACTCCTTGCTTTTTCCTTCCATCTATCCACCAGTACCCCCCTCTGTTTTACATCCTCTCTGCATTTCTCCCCAACTCTCACGTATATCAGTGTCTTCTTCTTCTTCTCCTCTCTGTACATGTGTCCCTATAGTCTCCACTGCAGGCAGTGGCATGGACGGAAGGATGGAAGGATGGATGGATGGATGGATGGATGGATGGATGTATGGATGGATGGATGGATGGATGGGTGGGTAGATGTTGGTAGGAAGGGAGGGAGGAGTGACAGAGTGTGTGTTGCTGTAACGGATATTAAAATATTCCTCCGGCGTGGAGATAGCGGTGATCCGGGGAACGATAGAGCGAGATAATGAAAAGAGGAACAAAAGTACTCCCCGCGCGGTGTGTCTGACCCCCCCATCCCTCCTTCCTTCTCTCCAGTCGCACTCATTTACATAGTAATCATCCCGAACTCTGCATGGGGGCTTCAGAGAGAGAGAAAAGAGAAAGAGAAGAGATAGACAGACAGACAAATAGATAGATAGATAGATAGATAGATTATTGAATGAGTGAGACTAAGGAGAAAATGCATGTATATTCTAGTAAGGAACATTTATATGGTGCAAGTGTGTGTGTGTGTGTGTGTGTGTGTGTGTGTGTGTGTGTTTTCTAGTATGCAAGCAGGATGTATTTCTTCCTTTTGAATTCACACTGTCATAAAAACATGAGTTGCATATATATATGGACCTCTATGCGCATGGTGTGATACATTTATGAGTGTGTGTGCGTGTCTGTGCGTAAGCGCGGAGTGTGTGTTTGCTGTCGGCTTGTTTTCTGCCCTCGTTGATGAACAGATGAGGTTGTCCTGGCAACGTGATGAGACGCAGATATGCAAATGAGGCTGGAGGGTGAGCTTGCACACGCACACACACTGCGGTATGAGGAGAGCTCATTTCACACACACATCTTGCTGAGACTGCAGCACTAGACCACACACACACACACACACACACACACACACACACACACACACACACACACAAATCCACAAACACACAAATACAAAACGTCATAATCAATTTTCTTTATCTCTGCATCATATAAAATGTATACTAGACGCTGTACTCTGCATAAATAAAGGATAGTTTCCCCTTCATCGTCAGCCATGTTCAGATGGTCCTCTTCCCCCTTTTTGCTCTTTCATTCACTTCTCAACCCTGAAACTCTCTGCACCCCTTTTGTAACTCACCGGTTGGCCAGACCCGGGGCTGGAGCAGTAGATGGTGTACTTGCGGATGATTCCATTTGGCTTGTGAGGGGGTAACCAGGACACTACGACACTGCTGGCGGAGGAGGGCACAGCTTTGATGCCAGCTGGGGGTCCAGGGTCTGAATCATAGGGGGAGCAAAGAGAGAAATGGAGGGCAAAGCAAAACGTGAACCAGTTATACTTGTCTGCATGTACAGTAAACTGAATAAGTAACTTTAAAGGTGAAGACTGATATTTGGGGAAATTTGCCCATTAGTTGTTCTTGGCTGCACCAAAAACATCTGTGTGTACCCACTAGATAGTTGATAAAGTTGTTGGTACTCCATACATTAGCTTATAATTGCAGAAAGGGTTTTGTTTTGTTTTTTTTAATAAAAAACTGAATTAGCATATTGCTAAGGAAAACATCCTGGCTCTGCAGCTACCATTAGAGTCCTTATGAGTTGATCTCAACACAAGCGAAAAAACAGCCTTCCTCTTGTGACCATGATAATGGTGTAAAAGCATTAATGCCCCTGAGTTGTCTTGATATAGAAAAAGATTAGACTTTGTGGTGTGACCTTTTTTCAGTTTCGTCATGTTTTAACAGTGCTTCATGTAGCTATTATTAAGAATATTGCAAGCTGCTATAACTTATATTTTGAGCAATATTTGATGTACATGCAGACTGAGGCTGAAATTATATGTTCATCAACAGAAAATGAATCTTCAATTCTTTCTAATTATCCATCTTTACTTTTTAAGAAAAAAAAAAAAACATCAACAGATTCAGAGTCCTCAAATGCCACATTTTTCTGGTATTCCCATTTTCTATGACAATAAACAGACTCTCTTTGGGTTTTGGACTGTTGGTTTGACAAAACAAGCAATTTGAAAAGGTCAGCTTGGGGTCTGGGAAATTGTAAAGGGCATTTTCACAATTTCCTGACATTTTATAGACCAAACAATTAATTGAGGAAATGATTGGCAGATTAATTAATGTGCACTGCCTCAATTTTTCTTTGTTTGCTGCTCTTGTCACCTGTACCCGACTGAGGTTGGACATGCACAATATCAACCTTCTTTGCTCATGTGTAGCGTTATCGTATGGACAAACCATTGTACATTACTGCTTACTTGACCAGTGACTTGTTTGCAGAAGAAACATTCACTTTAAGATAACTACTTTTTCGCCTAGTATCAGGCTAATGGAGTTAAGGAAACACTAGTATATATTTAAGTGTTACTGTAGCCAATGAGCTGCAAAGGAAGTCATAGATTATTTTGATATATTTGTTCTTGTCAGGGGTATGATAACCATTATTTTAGAATTAACAAAAATGGTCAAACATGCAGTGTTTTTTTTTTCTTGTACCCTTTTTTCTTTTTAAACGCAGGAGCTCTTTAATATGGAACTGACTGGTTTCCAACTGACAGTAGACCAGAGCTGTGTACTCTGCAGTATTGAGTATGTCTTTCTATTTTTGTTTTACTTGTGTGTCAGGTTTGACGTCATGGACAGTCATAGACAGTCATGGATGGGCCAGTAATACAGTTAGTAAACAACAGAAAGCAGCATGTAGGCCAGTGAAAATGTTACTTCTTGTTTTACATCTCTTACTCATTCAGTCTCTCTCTCAAACTCCACAGACTGTGACCGACAGTGTTTTGTGGCGGCCCATAATTGCATCTTGGGGAAAAATTAGCACGTACAACCGGGTGTCCTTTCTCTAGCCCGTTTCCCATTGGAAAAAAAACACAAAAAAAAACACCCACCAACATCTGGCTTTTGTCTTTAATGGGTATGGTTTCAATCAGCATTCACTCCCGGGATAAATGACTCTGCAGTAATTATGGGTATTTATCAGCATCAGCATCAGCTACAGCTCAGATTGGCTTTAATAGGCAGTGATATACCCTATTTCCACCAAAATTAGAGCATGTATGCCATTATTTTAAACATGGGAAACCCATTAAAAACAGGCGCAACACTCCTTTTCCATTGCCAGTACAGCAGAGAGGTGTACATGGCTCCGCAGCAGACAAATAAGCCTGTCTGTTTTTTTTTTCCGTTACTGGTGTGTCACATGCAACATCATGGCCGGGCGGAAAACAGGTTAGTAAACAGTAGAAAGCAGCATGGAGATCAATGGTGGACATCCGTGTGGACATGCTAATTTTAGCTCCTTTGTCGGTGGAATGCAATGATAGGCCACCACAAAATACTATCTGTCTCTGCCCAAACAGCACTCAAACATCATTCCAAATTAGTCTGCACCAAGTATGAGAGAGGGGGTGAATAAAAAAATTATCCAATGAAACATTTTCACTGGCCTCCATGCTGCTTTCTACTGTGTACTAACCTGTTTTCCCAACCATCCGTGACTTCAAACATGACACAAAAGTGAAAAGAAGAACATAGAAAGGTATACTCGTCCGCTGCAGAGCCATGTACACAGCTCTGGTCTACTGGCAAAAGAAAAGGAGTCTATCACCTATTTTTAACGGGTTTGCCCGTGTTTAAAAAACCTCCATACATATCCTAATTTTGGTGGAAAAAGGGTCATGCTACTGTCACTCAAAGCCAATCTGAGCTGGAGCCAATAAATCCTGATTGCAACCTTTCCTATTAATTACAAACGCCAGACGTTAGCATGTAATAGTGGGTTTTCTTTGTCCAGTGGGATGAAAGAATTAGACAACATGCAGTAATTAAAAATATAAATACTGTGATAAACTTTAAATCTACAATAAATACATGTGCACATATTCACAGGGACTAAATGTTGTGGACCCCAGGGTGTGGGGGTCCCTTGGAAAGAGCATAAAAGGGAACTTGATAACAAATCGTCTTTGTTCCTTTGCTCACTGTGTACTGTCTTTGTGTTTAAGAGACAGACGTAGAGAAAGGCTGGCTGAGAATTGTCTGTTTGCACAATTCCACTGCAAACACTTTTCCATATGCTGCAGATACAACTGAGGGCAAAGGGAAGGGAGAGACAGAGAGTGTTGAAAGTATGTGAAGAGGTTGCCCCTGGACACAGTGTCAACCTGCATCAGGGCAAAAGAGACACTCAGCTTGCCCCTGATAAGCACACACACTTACACACACTTAAAGACTAACGCAACACACATATTTGAAGAGCTACAGCGGCGAGGCCGGCTCATAAAATGGAGATATAGTGAGGAAGAGAGAATAAAGGCCTTTTCTGAAATGACACTTCTTAGAATCTCTGCCCTCCCCCCTGCCCTCCACTCTCCTGCACTCTCCCTCTTTCCCCTCATTTTCTCCATCTCCAGACGCCTGCCTCCTCCTCTGCGTGGCCCCAGGGAGGGAGAGGAGAGGCGGATACGGATGTAATCCACAGCCCGCCAGTGTAAGCACAAAATTAATTCTCTCTAAGCCACAAAGAATTAATCCCTCTCCTTGTGCTGGGTGCTGAGCTAGACTTGCACACAAACAATAATGTATGTACACACACACATGCACCCAAACACGCGCACCAACGCTAAGACACCATACACATGCAAACACACACTTAACACCCCTCCGACACTTCCGTATATTCACATGCACAGACCCACACCCTTAGGCTCCTTAACCACACACACTCACACACACTTTTTGGCTTCTTAATTCTCATTAGCACTGGTAATGGCACATCAGAGCACAAAGAGGTTTTAATCAGCAACCTCAGCCTTACAAAGACCCCCTCTACCCCCCCTGGCTCTCTGCCTCCCACACTGCAGCCTAAACCAAGAGCAAAAACCCTTAAACCCATCCCAAAGGCGTGGCCAAAGCAAGTGACAGATCAGTTCATTATTTGGTTTATGTGTGTGGAATGATCTACTTAAATGTGGACTCACAGTCTTCCCGAGTTTGGATGTACAGGACATTGCTACGGACGCCGTCTCCAGCCTGAGTGTAGGCAAGAACCTGGATGCTGTAGTTGGTGAACTTCTCCAGGCCCCTGAGCTCCACCTGCTCCTTGGTGGTTGTGATGTTTTGCATTTCACCCCATTCTGAAACACAAAAGAACAGCGAGATGTTCAGACCCACTGCTGACTAGTCATGGTATCTAAGATAACAGACGCACTCAACACACCTCCATCAGGAAAAACAGCCCAGAACACGACGCGATATCCCTTCAATACGCCATGCAGCGTCATCCTGGGAGGTTCAGCCCATGTAATCACTGCCTCGTCTGATGTTACAGAAATGGCTCGCACGTTCTGAGGAGGCTGGCTGGGCACTGATGATAAAGATGGAAAGAGAAGAGAAAAGTTAAGATGCGTTATCTAAACAATGTATCTACAGTTATCTAACCTGATGTATTTCATGGTTTATTTCAAAAGGAAAGATCTGTTCACAACTCCTCTGATGACTGAGCTAAACACAGATAAACTGGGGAAAATAAAGGGATTCTTTAATCCCTTTATCTAGTGTCCTTTAACCCCTTAAGTAGCTTTGAGGCTTGATCGTATTCCACATTGTGGCAATATCACACAGAAATTCTGCATCAGATTGTTCCAGCTCTTCATTGACGTTAAATACTGTTTACCCTGAGTAGTAAAACAAAAATCCAGATGTTTTGTGCACAATTTTTTACACATTTCCCAGATTCTATAATTGGTATCTTTGGAAACTTTAACCACTACCAGATGAAAAACCGTACCTGCAGGTGGGTGAGGTTACACGAGTTTGGCTTTTTTTCCACAGGAAGAAATATGGCTGTCAGCTGGTAGCAAACAATGTTGAATTTCAGTTATAGGGTGAGCTAAAATATGCTTCTGAAAACATGTTAAGGGTGAAATAGGCAATGCAGTAACATGGTTTACATTTGATCAGAACTGCCTAGTTTTACTGTTAAATCTGAGTTTGGAGCTCTGTGTCCATGGTGGGGAGTATATGAAAATGTGTAAGTACAATCTGTAGCTTGTAGGGCTAAAAGTAGGATAAATACGGAAAAGTTGATCATGTTAGTGCAGGGCTACCCAGAGCTTTACATCTGTCGCACAGACGATAGGCCTACACACTTATAAACAGCACTTGGAAGAAGATCAGCTCTGCACACAGGATTTCAGGTAAATAGGCTATACCATGCTTGTTAAGGATGCTTAGCAACTTCAGACGCAACCTGCTGCCACACTCTTGAAAGCTGGCACAAAAAAGACACAAGAGAAGCGCCCCGGCGTCCAACCTCACGTTTTCCAGGAGGTTAAAGATGCGGCATGTTTACAGCCCGTAATTTCCAGGGCTGGTACCTGCGGTTATTCCACAGGCTAGTTAATAACATGTCGGGCAGGAAATCCAAAGTGTGGGATCATTTTGAGAAGGTGAAGGACGAACCCAAGGTGATATGTAAACTCATCTTCATTGGTCAACTACAAACATGACGCATCATCTGAAACATTGAAGTAGCTACATGCCCATTAGCCCACAGTGTCATTAACAGGCGGCTCACTCAGTGTGTGACGTGCACTTGTAGATAAAATATAGGCCTATATTAATGAAGGTTCATTAGTACGGTTTTGTATTTCTCTGTAATGTAGCACAGTGTTAACAATGTTACTGATACTATTCTTTCTCACACCTTCAACTCAAACCATTGTGTTGCCCCATGCAAAATATATAATTTAAATATCGTAAACATGTGGGCGACTAGTTGACTAATGGCGCTAAATGACGACTATTGGTCAGTTAGGAAAATTCTTAGTCAGGGGGCAGCCCTTGTAGTTTGAGCAGCAGCCTTAGAGTCAGTGATGTGAGCTGAGAGATGAGCAAGGAGATCTGGGGGCTGTTTAATTGGAGGGAAGTCTACCGTGGTCCATTTGCACATACTACACACACTGTTATGATGCAAAGCTGGCTGAAAATTGGCAAAGTAGCTCTAAGGTTGGAAAAAAAAAATCAATCCAATATCTTTTGCATCATTTTATACATATTCCCTAATATTTTGCAAGACATATTTGGGATCTGTAAATCTCTTTGGATCTTTATCACAATTTAAATAAAATTCTGTGGATGTGTATGTCACTGCTGGTCCAGCACATAGCCAGCGAGGTCTAAGAGGTTAATAATTGTGAATAATGTAGATTATTTTTGCATTAAAGCAAAGGCTGCCATTGTCTCCTCAAAATTAGGACTGCACTGGCTAGCTGATAAATAAATAAATACACCCTCTCTGAAACCCTAAATTTCCATATCAAACCTGAGGCGAGTAAACAGGCTAGTGATAGATAAAAAGCTCATGACATGCGTCCAGCCTGATGTATAGGACCATCTCTACAACCACCATCTCTCTTTCTCTGTACAAGCCTCCTTCTGTCCCCACCAGCCCAGGTGTCTCTTCTATTGGCCACCGCTGACCATTAGTCTTTCAGGCTTTGAATAACGCACACTGTTAAAGATGAACAGAAGTCAACTTGTGAGAGGAGGAGGAGCAGGAAGAGAGGAAGAGAGGCGAGTGAAAGACAGAGAGCAATGAAAGAGAGAGATTGGGCCAAGTCCACCAGGGAATTTCTCTGCAGCTGGTGAAGAGAGAGGAGGTGGGGAGGAGGACGGAGGAAGGGAGGGAAAGGAGAAAGGAGGATTAGAGAACTGAAAACAGGGTTTTGCATGAATAAACCTTTAGGCTAAATAATTAGAAGGCAACAAAACACAGCCCAGTTCCTCCCTTCGCAGTCAGACCTTTCCGAGAAGAGAGAGATTGAAAGATGATATGAACAAAAAGGTGAGCTGGTTCAAGTGCCCCCACATTGTCACCGTTAGGGCTTACGTAGGGTGACACACATGAAGGATGCCACATAAATGCTAAGGTTGTTGACATATAAAATAACCTTACATAAATAAGTGCATAATTTGGAGAGAGATGGGGATAACAGGAACATAATGAAAGGCAGTTTTGGACTGGGGCTACAGGGAGGAGGAGATGGGGGGTGAGGGGCAGAGGAAGAAGGGAGAAAGGGAGGAAGAGAGTTAAAAGCAAGGGGAGCAAGGGAAGGGCAGAAAAAGATGAAAAGAGGGAGCAGAGAGACAATGCGCTCAGCTGTGGATAATTACAGCAGGAAGCAGCAGAGGGAACTAGAGAGAGAGAGACAGACAGAGAGACAAGCTAATTATAATTATTTTTAGTATGCTTGTTGTTATCACTATTATCATAATGGCCATCAATATCACTGTCACCACGGTGACAGCCATAGGGAAGAACTGGAGGGCTCTGTCTGCTCTGGACCAATGGGGCTCAGCCAACTGTTCGCTGGGTGGACATGTATGTATGTGACGTGTGTGTGTGTGTGTGTGTGTGTGTGTGTGTGTTTGTTTGTATGAGTATAAAAAGCAAAGCAAATGTGGATGACACGTGATAGAGGTTGAGAGAGGAGGCGTGTATTGAAAATATCTGTTCACAGGTACAGCTCACAGATTAATTACATTAACTGCAGTTCAACACTAAAGAACAAAGAGCGCAAGGAGAATATTTAAAGTCTTCTTGCGAGAATATGATGAGAACAATTTCGAGTTGAGAATACTTTTTCTTTTAAAGTTGCATTTATCGGTGTGTTGTTAACATACATCAGTCGGTTTTTGGATTTATTCAGCTCCCAGGTGACCAGAAGTCAACTAACGCTGGAGAAAATGTTGCTCTACAAGAAAAAGTTGCATTACCAAGTAAATTATGGCCTTTGGAAGTCCAATCTACAAACTAAATGAAGTCCAGTGATCCATTCTTCCACTGCTTTACTGCCTTTTCACCAGCCCCCTCCACCTCTCCCTCAAGACTACCTTCAACTTCACATACATTTTTGCCTTTTCCTATTGTTAAGGAACTATTGGATTTGTCTTTCTAGCTATACAAATTATGGATCTAGAAAGTTACTTCTTTCAGTACTTCCACCAAGGAGTTGGTGGATGTTTTTGGCCTAATGTCTTAATCTTTTATTTAGATGTATAGTATCCAGGAACTGTGGGCTACTACAGCTACTACAGTATGGCCAGCAAAAGTAAAGCCAATCCTAGCTTTGTCTGCTTGGCATTTTACCTCACTATATGTACCTTTTTTTCAGTGCTGTGTCCTCTTGGATGTGTGTTGCTTACAGTATGACACCTGGTCACTACCTTTTTATAGAGTCCTGACCTTATCTGAGTGTTGTGCCCAGGAACGTACTAAACACAGCAAAATAAGATTGAAATAAGAAAACAGAGGCAGAGGGCAGATTCTCTGCAGATAAATGCACAGCCACACACTTCTAGTGGGTCATACAGTAGGAAAATCCTGCGTTGTATCTTTAATATGATATCTTAAAAAGCTGTTTGCAGATTTCAGTCAAATTTGGGTAACTGGAAAGTTTTTGTTTCAGATCTGGAAGTATGTAATGCAGGAAAAATTAACCTTTTTCAAAAGATTTTTTAAAGATTCCAAGACTGGGAACTGTTGAACTTTATTTTGCATATTCACAGCTAGATGAAATTTACAAAATGTCTAAACTAGGGCTGTCAAAATAATGTATTAATTTTGATTAATTAATCACAAAAAAAAGTTAAAAAATGAACGCTGATTAATCACCTGGTGCCCTTTGACCTGGTGCATCATTGAAGGCCACAGTGGCTTTGTTACATGATGGAGGCAGATGACATGACGCTGCTTGGCCCCATAAATGAAAAATATTCATATTTTAAAAAAACACCAAGGAGCACCATGTCTTATGAGTAGGAGCACTGTCCCAGTGTCTCACCTCAACACAAAGCATTTAGCAGCGAACCCAGACGTCCGAGTTAGCATAGCTTCTGATGCTAGCGCTAGCAGCCAGCCTCGTCAAGCCACACTCGACCAGGCGTTCAGACGCAAACTGAGTAAGTACACCTGTGACCAACTAACTAACTCCCTTGCAAAATGGATTGCAATGGACTGCAGACCAGTTTGGGTGATAGAGGACGGGGAGACAATTGTGTCTAAAATCCAGCAACATTACTACGACACATCTGCCTAAATTCATTTGAACTGAAATTTTTTAAAGACTTTCACAGCAAAAATGTATGTATGCGATTAATTTAGATTATCTAATCACAGAACACAAATATATATTTTTATTATATCCATTCATTCAGTCATTTGCTCATTCATTCATTCACTTATTCATTCATTCAACATTAGGCCCATCTACCCCATAGCCACCAGGGTGCATGGCAGTATCTCCACACTCTTTCTCACTCTACACAGATCACTCAGTCCCCTCTACAGCGCTGCTAAATGTGTGCCGTGTCTATGAGACTATGTGTGTCCTTGGTATTTGTGAAAAGCATTTGGATGCCAGCAGCCAACATTCATTCTTGTTGAGAGAAGAGAGAGAATGTAGTAATTTTAGGTTACAAAGCATGGCATGATTTGACATAGATCAGAGAGCGAGACAGCCAAAAGAACAATGGCAACAGAAAAAGTGCAGTAACTGTGAATCAAAGCCAAAGCAGATGGGGTGATATTTCACAGGTATGACAGTTCACTCTTCCACTGCATTTAATGGACCATGCTGTTTAACCTATTTCCCGTATTGCTGCTGGTCACAAAGTACCCCATATTTACACTCATAAACACACCGAGAGGCAATAAATCCTCTGTTATACATGCTGAGATGTGTTCTCTCTGTGTTGTTTATTGTGATCCTCACCATCTTCCAGCGTTGTAGCGTTGATCTCTGAGCTGGAGGGCCCTGTGCCAGCTCTGTTGAAGGCCTGGACAACCACACCATACTGGGCAAACTTCTTCAGGTTGTCCAGGGTGTAGACCTCGCTGTCTCCAGTAGCCTTCATCTCCACAATGCTGTACTGGCCGTTGCTGCCTGGGCCGTTCTCTCTGTAACCGATCTGGTATCCTCTGATCACCCCGTTCTGCAGCTCCTTCCTGGGAGCCTGGGAAAATAGGAACACAGTACTGACATCACCAGACTGTGCGATTATTTAACCACCTCCATGAACAACATACATGGAAAAGAAATCAAGACAATAAACATTAGGTTACTTGCAATATCAAGATAATCTTTGAGGAAGTACATAGCTATTCATTATATATTATACTACACTACCTTCCAGGTGACCCTGATACTCTGAGAGGTCACCGGCTGCAGGATCACCTCCATGGGAGGACCATCAGGCTCTGCAGAGAGACAGAGAGTCAGAGGGGTCGAGGCTGAGGCATTGTGCTACTGTCAAACAAACATTCTGTGGCTTTCACGACCCTAAAATATTCTTATCTACAATGTTCAGAGATGTTTTTCTCACCTTAACTGGGAGAGAATTTCAATACAGAATGCTTATTCAAGGACAGATCGGTCAGTGTCATAAAGATGCTGTGACTAAAAGCTAATGCTCCAAGAATAAGTGAAATATTTGCTCACATTCACATTAGTCCAAGTCAAGACACTCACGTGCTTCCTCCGTGCTGATGGTGAGTTCCTTACTGGCCTCACTCTTGCCTATTGAGTTGTAAGAGTACATGCGGATGCTGTAGACAGAGGCAGGGTGAAGGTCTACTATGTTGGCCTGATTGTTGGTGGGGGAGATGTTTCGAGTGGCATGCTTTAGCTCCCAGGTGTCTGACGAAAAAAGAAGAGAATTTTGAGTTACATTTTGCCACCATTCTCCCACTTTAAAGACACTTTTGATTTATCTGGGGATTTGTGTCTCTCATTCTAACGCAATATTAAGTCCTTTCTGTAAAATAAAGAATACACTCTTTCACATACCTGTCTTGTTCTTATACTCAATATCGTAGGAGGTAATGACGCTGTTCCCATCAAATCTCTGTGTCCACCGCAGGTTCATGCTGCGATCTTTCACTTCTCGCACCTCTAATTCTGGAGGGTCTGGGGGCTCTGAGGAGTTAAAAGAGAGGGAGTAAACAAAAGGAGGAAGACAAAGTAAAGAAGGAGAAGGCAGCCCCACAAGAGAGACAATTCTGGCTGGAAAAAGGGAAGAGCAGGTCTGTGTAGCTTTTATCAATATAAAGAGAAGAGGGTATAGTACATGCATTTGTTCAGGAATGGTTACCCTGCACAGTGAGCTGGATAAGGCCTCGTCCTTCTCCATAAGAGTTGATGGCATGACAGGAAAAGAAGACTGAATCCTCACGCTCTGCTGGCTTTAGCTGTAGGGGGGAAGGTAGAAAGAGAAATGTCATAGAGACAAACAACTCTATCTTTGTGCAGGAAAATTGTGTAAAGCACAGCTTTGTGACGGAGAAGTGGCCCGCTGAGTTTTTCCTCAGCATGTTTGATATGTAGGCGACTCACAGCCCTTTTCCATACACATGTGCTGGCTTGGCTTGACTCAGTTAGACTCAGCATCAGCCCAGGGTGGCAGAAACTTGCATCTCCATACATCAGGGATACTAACTTAAACGTGAGTCTTTATCTGATGACATGTTTGCGCTTGTGAACCAACAGAACATTTTTCTGTCCACCCTGCAGGTGTTACTGTGGTCAACAACTTTCTTGTACTGTTGTTGGAGTTTTTTAAATTTCCCTTTGCACTACACAAACGTATACCAGATGCCCATCTCCTCCAGCTTGCTTGCAATGTCTTGGAAGTGTAGGTCTAGTGCTGCTGGAGCACACAAGAATGACACTCCACTGCTTCCTCTTTAAGTGATGAAACAGAATATTTATAGTTTACATATGCCAGTTGAAATTCATATACATTTTTTAACATTTGAAAGTCTGACTCAGTGCGTTTAAATTGGTAATGGAAACACAAATCAACGTGGCATGGTTTGACTCGGCAAAAATCACCAAGAAAAAGCCCTACACTTTGTACACTTTAATGGGAAGAGAGGTGTGAGAGGGGAAATGTCACCAGTCCTGTGGTACACTGAATTTATGGTGTCAGAATTCACATTTTTTGGCACCATTTGCCAAGCACCTGCTTGAAAAACATCGAACAACATGTCTTCTGTGCTATTTTTGCCACTTAAGCTGGCAAGGGTGTATCCTATTAGACCTCTGCAATGTCAGTTATGGACATGAAATCTACTGGAGTTAAATCTTATGCAAAACACAAACATACATACATAGAGCAAACCATTACTCAGCATTAATAGAAGACAACAAGAACAACCCCAGGTTTCTTTTCAGCACTGTAGCCAGGCTGACTGAGAATCACAACTCTATTGAGCCTTGTATTCCTTTAGCCCTTAGCAGTAATGATTTTATGAGCTTTTTTAACGACAAAATTCTAACTATTAGAGGCAAAATTCATGACCTCCTGTCCTCAGATAGTACCTATCTAACCTCAAACACAGCTGTAAGACCTAATATATATTTAGATTGCTTCTCCCCAGATTTCTCTTCAAGAATTGACCGCAGTGATTTCTTCATCTAAATCATCAACCTGTCTCTTAGACCCCATCCCAACTAGGCTACTTAAGGAGGTCTTACCTTTAGTTAACACTCATATATTAGATATGATCAATATATCCTTATTAACAGGCTATGTACCACAGTCTTTTAAGGTAGCTGTAATTAAACCTCTCCTAAAAAAGCCCATCCAGAGGTGGATCCAGGATCCAGAGGTGTTAGCCAACTATAGACCAATATCTAATCTTCCCTTTCTTTCAAAGATCCTTGAGATCTCCATGATAATAATTTATTCGAGGAATTTCAGTCAGGATTTAGAGTGCATCATAGCACTGAGACAGCACTAGTTAAAATTACAAATGATCTTCTAATTGCTTCAGACAAAGGACTCATCTCTGTACTTGTTTTATTAGATCTTAGTGCGGCGTTTGACACAATTGACCATCAAATTCTGCAACAGAGACTGGATCACTTAATTGGCCTAAAAGGTTCTGCACTAAGCTGGTTTAAATCTTATTTATCAGTTTGTTCACGTTCATAATGAATCATCCTTATGTACTAAAGTTTGTTTTGGAGTTCCGCAAGGTTCTGTGCTCGGACCAATCCTATTTACTCTATATATGCTTCCTTTAGGTAACATCATTAGAAATCACTCTATAAATTTCCATTGTTATGTGGATGATACACAGTTGTATTTATCTATGAAGCCAGAAGAAAGTAATCAATTAACTAAATTTCATAATTGCCTTAAAGACATAAAAACCTAGATGAGCACCAATTTCCTGATGTTAAATTCAGACAAAACTGAAATTATTGTTCTTGGCCCCAAACAACTCAGAGACTCTTTATCTGATGACATAGTTTCTCTAGATGGCATTGCTCTGGCCTCTAGCACTACCATAAGAATCCTCGGAGTAACATTTGATCAAGTTTTGTCTTTTAATTCTCATTTAAAACAAACCTCACGGACTGTATTTTTTCATCTGCGTAATATTGTGAAAATTAGGCCTATCCTGACCAGAAAAGATGCAGAAAAATTGGTCCACGCTTTTGTTACCTCAAGGCTGGATAACTGTAACTCTCTATTATCAGGTAGCTCTAATAAGTCCTAAAAAACTCTCCAGCTAATTCAGAATGCAGCAGCACGTGTACTAACAGGAACAAAGAAACAAGATCATATTTCTCCTGTTTTAGCTTCTCTGCACTGGCTCCCTGTAAAATCCAGAATTGAATTTAAAATCCTACTGTTAACTTATAAAGCTCTAAATGGTCAGGCTCTGTCATATCTTAGAGAGCTCATAGTGCCATATTATCCCACCAGAACTCTGCGCTCTGAGAACGCAGGGTTACTCGTGGTCTCTAAAGTCTCCAAAAGTAGATCAGGAGCCAGAGCCTTCAGCTATCAGGGTCCTCTCCTGTGGAATCATCTTCCTGTTACGGTCCGGGAGGCAGACACCGTCTCCACATTTAAGACTAGACTTAAGACTTTCCTCTTTGATGAAGCTTATAGTTAGGGCTGGCTCAGCCTTGCCTTGTACCAGCCCCTAGTTAGGCTGACTTAGGCCTAGTCTGCCGGGGGACCCCCCTATAATACACCGGGCACCTTCTCTCTCTCTCTCTCTCTCTCTCTCTCTCTCTCGTGTCCCGTTACTGCATCTTGCTAACTCGGCCATTCTGGATGTCACTAACTCGGCTTCTTCTCCGGAGCCTTTGTGCTCCACTGTCTCTCAGATTAACTCATATCACAGCAGTGCCTGAATAGTGTGACGTGTGTGGTTGTGCTGCTGCCCTGGTCCTACCAGATGCCTCCTGCTGCTGCTGTTATCATTAGTCATACTTCTACTGTTATTATACACATATGATTATTGTCACATATGTACACTATCAGATATTAATATATACTTTCAACATATTGTATCACAATAGCCAGAATTATAATTATAATATTATTACTTTCATTAATGTTGTTGTAAGCTACTGTCTCTGTCTCTCTCTCTGTCTCTCTTTCTGTCTCATTGTGACATACGGATTACTGTTAATTTATTATGCTGATCTGTTCTGTACGACATCTATTGCACGACTGTCCGTCCTGGAAGAGGGATCCCTCCTCAGTTGCTCTTCCTGAGGTTTCTACTGTTAAAGGGTTTTTTTTGGGGAGTTTTTCCTGATCTGCTGCGAGGGTCCTAAGGACAGAGGGATGTTGTATGCTGTATGCTATGCCCTGTGAGGCAAACTGTGATTTGTGATATTGGGCTTTATAAATAAAATTGATTGATTGATTGATTGATTGATTGATTGATTGATTGATACACACACAAGCTTTTGCACTCCTGTGTGCATCAATCCAACTGCGAGACGATGACATCCTCAGAAGTCACCGGACACACAGTTGATTCAGCTCCCCTTAAAATCACCAAGCTCCTTCTTACAGGGCACCACTCTCTTAGTATGATCATCCAAAAACAGTGCGTCACCAGCAGCTCCGAGCATCATCTCCATCTGTCCTTTGATACGTATCACAGGAAGACTCTAATTTTTAAATGCAGTAGAAGCTGACCTGTGGGTGCCATGACCAACATGGTGTGGAGGAGCAAAATTATGACATGGTGACTTTCAGTGTGTTCAGCAATGTGGTTTCAAATTGGCATCGTATGTGTTAGGCTTCTGTATAGCTAAATGTCCCAGAGATGCTGGTCCAGGATCCAATACCAAACATGATGATAAGTTGTGGTGGAGACATAGGCTGCGACTGTTACCCACCTTTCAGCATTCTCTAACATACTGACAGTTGTGATCATGGACTTTGCCTTATCTCACCATTATTTCACAAACCGCAGGCAACGAAAATACAACTCAGACGAGAGAAAAGTGAAAGCTATCCCTTTGTGAGGTAAGAGTCATAAAGATATTGCTGTCAGATTTTATCAATCAGAAGCTCCACCATATATAAGCTCTCCTTACCTTGAGCGTAGACAACACCTCGTCTGTCTTCTCATTGGGACTGGTGGTAATGGAGTATCGGGGGTTGCGGTCAGGGTCAATGACTGTGTCGCCTCTCTCCCAGCGGATGATGATGGGCCATTCTCCCCTGGCTGTGCAGTTCAGCTCCTTCAAGTGACCCTTCTTAGCCATGGTAGTGTTGGGGTGACTGGTGATCATCGCGGGGACTGGAAGGAGAATGGAGTGTCAGATGAAAAGAAGGTGGGGACATATGTGTGTAAATAGTGACGGTAAACAAATTGATGAGGGGGATATTACATGACAGAGGCGGATAAAGGAGAAAGAGGGGGGAAGGAAGAGGAGTAAGTGTATAATAAGGTGTTAGGTAATAGGCAGGGTTTAAGTGGAGAGGGAGAAAGGAGTGAAAGAGTGGAGAGAAGAAAGGTTGGAGAGCCGGCAGTTAAAAAGGTGGAGTTCAGATTAGCCAAGTTCCATTGCAGCAGAGTAATGAAGAGCTATGGTCAATGAGGTAAAGTCAATAAACCTCCTCTCTCATTCTCCAATAGTTAACACCGGGGTCTAGGTGAATGAAGACGCAAAAGAGATACACTCTACCTTTCGTGTGCACTCTATACACAAACTCACTCACAGTCTTCTCTGGCCAACACACACACACACACGCGCGCACGCGCACGCGCAGAATACCGATCTGAGGAGGATTCTGCTGTTTTGTTTTCATCACTTATTCATCTCACCCTCCCTCTTTTCCTCTTTTCCTCCCTCTCCGCTGAGCGAAACAGACAGAATTGAGGGAGGCAGAGGAAAGGAACGGTTCAATCAATAACACTAACACCAGCAGGAGAGAGAGAGCAACAGAGAGAGACAGAGAGGGGCAGTCCTGTGATAGCAGAACATGGTGAAACTACCGGTTGTATTTGTGTGCACCTGGTTAAACGTGTTCTTCGCAAGTCCAAGTGTCAAAAGGAGCCAGATACGAAGTGTTAACATCTTTTCTGAGGGTAGAGCTGTTTTGTAAGGTCACGGTGCTGCATGCTGCAAAGTACATCATCCCCTTATAATGCTTGACTTGATGTTGACAGTCTGTGTGTCTCTGTGTGTGCATGCTTGTTCCCCATACATGTTCACATTGCATTACACAGGGTGTTACTGACAGCGAGGGCAGGATGAGAGAGATTGATTGCAGATAATGATTAAGCTCAAAGTGTTTTTGATTGTCTGTAGACGGATCCCAGGAGTCAAAAGATCAATCGCTCAGTTGCTCGCTTTCTCAATGCCTGTCTCTCACACACACACACACACACACACACACACACACACACACACACACACACACACACTTCTCTCTCTCTTACTGTTCTTTATTGTTTCGCTCTTACGTCCATGGTCACCTTTGCTCCGCCAATTCATCAGTGTGCATGTTCGTGTGTAAGCACATGCCCACAGAGCACAGGGAGAGTAGTGCGAGCTGGCTCATTGGTTTGACACAGTTAGCGAGCGTGTGTGCGTGAAGACTGATAAAGTCGGAGCACCGGAGCGTCCCAGATGGCTTCTCCGCAGTCATCTTTGCCATGGAAAACTCATAAACTGCTACATTAGCCCGTGTGACTTTGTATACTCACTCTTAACGGTGAGGACCATGCTCTTGCTGATGTCTGAGCCAACGCCATTGGACGCCTGACAGAGGTAGAAGCCGCGATCCTCTTCCAAGACATGTCTGATGAGTAGAGAGCCGTTACTCATGATCTGGATACGGCCCGTCAGAGGCACTGGGTGGTACTGCTGTGGATTCCCAATTCCCGCTGGACAGTTAGAGACAGACAAGATAATGAATTGTACAGTAACTGATGATCCTTACATGTTAATCAGATTTACAATGGGCAGCATGGACCTGTGAATGTGACAACAGGCTGAAAAAAGCTGACAGAGACGCAACACAGTATACAGATAAGAGATGAAACATGAGCCATGTACCTAGTGCACCTTTGGCATGCTTCCACATGACCTTAGGAGGAGGGTATCCATCTACTGAACAGTTTAGGATCCCAGCCTTCCCATAGATCCCATCCTGATTGTTGGGCTGAACCACAAACCGAGGAGGCACTGGGGGAAGAAGGAGAGGAGAAGTGAATAAAAATAGAAAAACTTTTTGGGGTTTTTTCCAAACTGGAATCATATTATGTTTCCTGCTGGGCCAGTAGACAGTATTTCAGTAAGAACCTCATCAGCTGTAACACTAAATTTAAACTTTAATCTGCTATGTTCATTATGATGAAATGGAATAAAGACTTAAACAGGTATTTCACTGATTTTTAGCGGTGGAAGGAGAATCCAAATCATTAACTTAAAGGAGCAGTGTATAGGATACATAGGATTTAGTGCCATCTAGCTGTGAGGACTGCACATTGCAACCAGCTGAAACTTTTCTGTGTGCACAGCATAAACTCACACTTAGGGATTCCTTCAGTGCACTGGTACTGCACAGATATGCTCGTGTGACTGATGTAGCCAAGTATATTATTACATGTGACTGATGTGACTCACGCTGGGTTCACATAAATTGGAAACAAACTGGATATCATTCTAGTGGACGAGAACAGGATGGTAAAATTGGATGATGCTGGCAGAGGATACCAGTAACTGTAACGGTAGACGGTTAATGCTATTCAAAGTTAGAATATTTTAACTTTTTGCTGTCCTCCGCGACAGAATTTACAGCCGGATGTTACGTAGTTCCCTTGCACAAGGAGAAAACAAAGGTGATTACGACAATTACTAGACATTACATTATTTTACATAAAATAAAAGACAAAAAAATTTGTGGGTAAATTTATGTATTGTCTTCCATTATTTGTACAATGTACGACATCACCTTTGTAGCATATCCACGTGTTTTGTTTTGCCATCCTGCCATTCCATTGGACTATTTGTTTGTTTTTCCTGTGCCGTCCAGAGGGTTTTTTCCGTTGCATACTACTAGCTACCTGATTCCATGTGAATGCAACATTAGTAAGGTGCAAGTCCACCATATGCTGCAACAACAGTTCCAATATGTCTTATCACTGAATTTAATGGACAGGTAACACCATTCTCGCAAAACATATTCCCTCAAGTTGGTCCAAAATATTGGATAATTTTACTTCCTTGGGCCTCAAACTCTTATTTAAATAAAACCATCCAAGAAGTTTAAAGGAGAAAATGTTTGAGTGTAACTTCCACCAACTCATCTAACACATGACAAGGGGTTTCAAAAAGACACTGCCTTTGCCTCTTTAGGGGCTGACGAGCCAAAACAGTTAAGAACCACTAATTTAATATTAAACAATGCATTGTATTTCCTAAAATAAACAAAATTTTAATCTGTCAAATACATGTAGTGGAGCAAAAGTATAAAGTAACATATAATTGAATTACTCCAGTTGAAGGGAAACTTCAGTACTTTTCGATCTGGACCCTATTTACCATGTTTTTGTGTTTAAGTGACATTGGTCAAGTATTAAGACAGACAGCTGCAGTCTGCAGTGGCAAAACAGGTTGCAATGTAATCCCCTTGGGCAAATGTGCACTGTCAATTTATGTCCCCTAAAGTGCATGTTTTTGCCACTAAAATGTTTTGGTTTACATTTTGTTGATCCCGCCTGTTGTTCCAAAACCATTTCCGCATGGTCTATATATTAATCTATGACAATGAAAATCTTTTAAAAAACACTGTGCTACACTTCCTGTACTCAACAAACTCTTCCAGCCCTTCTCTCTTCAACTCTAAACTCACAAGTCAGTCTTTAGACGCTTTGCTTAACTAAAGAATGATGACTTTCTCCCTGATTTTATGTTTAGATAGGCGGATACAATTTCAGAGTTTAAAAAAACTCCCTACATTGCAGAACCAATAGTAAATCTACAGGGCGGTCCTTCGGTGGCTCGCTGAACTCTTGTGCTTGTAAACATAGTCCCACTAGAAACACGTGTAGCGGTACAAAATGGCTCAGCTGTGCTCGCAGAAAATTCCGTCAAAGTTAGTGGATGTTTGTCGAGTTTGCGGCAACACATTCTCGCCAACTAAAAGAAACAAACATAATCTTTTACAAGGCCATGACTCATCCGGTCGGCCGGACTATAGAGGCAATCGCCTTGTAAACAACAAGGCGATTCCGTCTATAGTCAGGGTAGAAAACCAGCAGAGCTTTTAGCTATATATATAGCCTATATATCACATTTTTCACATCACTGTATCACCGTTTAGACTAATCCGATGTTTGTAAAGTCTATAAACACAATGATTGAACAAACATTACTATTTCTGTGTGCACGTTTAGCTGGGCTAACCGTTAGCTGTTAGCCCTGTTAGCCGTTAGCGGTGTCTGTAATAGATAATAACTCATTAAACGGTCCGTGAAAAAAAATACGTTTTCCAGCGGATATCTTAGTTACAACATGATTGAGCTAGCAAAGCAGTTTTGTGTTGCTATGTGTGGTATTTATTCAGTTTTGGGAAATCACGATGTCTAGAAAGCATCAGTTGACAGGGACAGCTAACACTAGCAGTAAAGCTAACATCTGGACGTCATCTGTTAAAAGCCTCCTGTTGTCGGATACGACATGAAACTACTCCAGTTAGCTCAATCATGTTGTAACTAAGACATCCGCTGGAAAAAATATTTTCTTCACAGATGAGCACACGAGTTTAATCTCTCAGCATCCATTTTCAAGCTCTCTGTGTTTGTTTCCTTGCGGACGAAAAAAGGGGGAGCGCACATTTCCGAGAAGGCGTGTCCTTTTCAAAAATGCAAGAGGCGTTGCTTTGTTGCCAGCCGTTTTCGCCGGTGTGTTAAACACACTTTAGAAAGGAGTGTCCCCAGACTATCAGAAGGCGGAGATCTCTGATTGTCTGGTGGCGACACTACTTCAACTCTAACTAACGTTTTACTGCAACAAGTCACCTCTCACAAGACTTCAGACCCAGACTTCTCCTGGAGCGAGACTTGGACACAATAACAAATAGACCAGAAAAAGGTAAGAAAAAGGTTTCATTGCTCTGTAGGCTCCTTTCTGTATGCCGTCAGACACTTGTAATAACAATCTGAGCCTGTCAGTAGCAAAAATAAGCACTTTTAATGGACGTAAATTGACAGTGCACAATTTTGACAATACATTTTTAAATCTTCAAAGTCAACCAACTTTATTTGAGTATAATACTAAAACACTGCAGTGCTATAACCCATTCCTTTCCCCTTCAACTCTTCCAACATATCACTTTTATATTCTGAATCCTCTCTCACTCCTTCTTTTCTTACCTGTGACTGTGAGCTGTCTCTCCGTGCTGACAGTGGCAGCATCGTTGCTGGCGATGCAGGTGTAGTTCCCATTGTGTTTGAGCGACACCTTGGATATCTGGAGGGAGCTCATGAACTCCTTTGTGTCTATGGTGATGCCCGAGGAGGGCACGATTTCCTGCCCGTCCTTGCGCCACGTGATGCGTATGGGCATGTCTCCAGACGACACCACGCAGGCGATGTACATCAATTTACCGATGGAAGTCGGTGGAAAGTCAAATGGCTGGATCAGTGGAGGAACTGAGAGGGGTAAGGAAGGGGAGGATAAAATAGAGAGCAAGAGAGCAAGTGAAGGAAGGAGAGTGATAGGGTGCAAGATGTGTAGAGAGAGGACGGGTGGGTAAATAGAAATGTAGTAGAGACAAAGTAATTGAGGGGGAAACAGTGAGATGAGATAAAAGAAGATAAGCAAGAGATAGAACAGGCAGATCAAGTCGAGGAAATATATGGTGAAAGAGAGCGGGGTAGAGAAAAAGGCAAGGACAGGCAACAGGGTGAAATAAAGGGTAGATAGAGAGAAGAGAGAATAAGGCAAAGAGGGAATGGAAATAAAAAAAAAGATGAATGAAAACAGTTAGAGGGTTGTTTAAATGAGCAGGGTGAGTAAGAGGTGAAGACAGAGATTTGAGGCAGATATGAATAAGTGAAGGATAGAGAAAAGAGAGAAAGTCAGATGTGAAGACAGGGAGAATATGGGTAGACACACAGATTTGAAGATTCGGGGGCATCGAAAGGACATGGGGTTGGAGAGTGAGTGATGTAAAGGCAGATAAGGTGGAGGGAGAAACATACACAGGAGGGAGACATAAAGACAGAGTGAATTTTTTTTAAAGGGCATGGTTCAGAATCTGTCATTTTCACCTGACAGGCTAATTGGTAAACTAGTGGTCTATCTGTCTGTCTGATTTTCTGAGTCTCCCATAAGCCTGAATCCCCGACGCTTCCAAAACACCACAGCCTGGCCTACTAGCCCACTACCCACTCTGCAGCCGCCTGTGCCCCCTACCAATCCCTCCACTCCACCCCACCCTGCCCTGCTAAAGCCAGCCCATAATAGCTGCTCTAATTAGAGCCCCATCCGCAGGGGGAAGAACGGTGTTGCTATGGAGAGCGGCGGGGGTGATGGTGGTGGTTTGGAGTGGGGGAGGAGGGGAGGGTGGTGTTGGTGGTGGTGGTGGTGGTGGTGGGGGGTTACAGCTGAGACATCTGGGGGATTTAATCTGGGCCTCGTTAAAATTCATCTAATTAAATCAGAGACATGACGAGCACACATTCATACAAGCACATACCTACACCGACACGTAGCAAATGCACTCTCACACATGCATGTGCATGAAAGCGGGCACGCGCACGTATACGAAGACAATCCAGCACCGCAAATTTCACACATCTGTTAATGTCAAGTCGAAACACACACAGAACCCACACTCACACTCGACAACTTCCTAAAACAAACATGTCAAGGTATCGGCACGGTGAGCAGAGCGAAATAACATACAAGGTGACATGCAGAATATATACAGTACACACACACACACACACACACACACACACACACACACACACACCTTTATGCATGTGTATGGCATGCACATGCAAATCTTACACAATAGCACTCCTGCTCTATGTAATTGCTGAGTGGTTGAGAGTGCGCACCAGGCCACTCCGCCCCTTAATCAGGGGTTATTAGAGGCAATGCATACAGCTTTCTTCTTTCCTCTCCCTCTGTTTCACTCACACCCTCCTGCTCCAAACCAGTCTTACTCACTCTCCATCCCTCTCACAATCACCCTCTTTTACATTCATAATTTTTTTTTCCATTGCAATTTAAATATCGCCCAGAAAAGACACCTAAACTGAGAATTAGAATTCTATTTATCATTTAACCTAAAGTAAACAAAAACATACAAGCATTTATCATTTACACCTCACAAAAAGCAATGATGTACATGCTCTGAAACTCTCTGACCCTTTCAAAACAATGAGCCCTCTCACTGACCTTTGACAGTAACGTAGACAGTCTGTGTGATGAAGAGTTGTGGTTGGATGAGTACGCTGCAGACATAGGCTCCCTCGTCCATCCCCTTCTGAACATCGCTGAGCTTCAGAGTCCCGTTTTCATACACCACCTGAACAGACAAAAGCAGGGTTACACTCTGAGATGATACATGCCTGGTTTTCTTATTCATACATCTATACTGAGCTGTGAAGTCCAACGAGCTAAGATTGTAACATGGCCGACACTGATGCATGCGTGTGTTTTGCTTCGGAGTTTTCAGGTTTTTCTACTTTCATTTCCAAAAAGAGTGGTGCAGGAATGAGTCCCAAAACCTGGAAACAAGTTAGCATTTTAGCACTCCTGGTTTCCTCGTCTCAAAGTTACTAGTTTTTTAAATGGATTTTTGGTTAGATGCCTGAGATAAAAGATTTTTACGTTTGTTCCAAAACATAAAATACATTAGTAAATACTTAACTCCTATTTTCTGAAGCCTTTACTAGTCTTAAAAAACAACTATTGCTAAGAGGCTAAATGTGACTACACAACATCATCACAAATGCTTTACAGCCTCTGTTGTGGTGGCGACAGTCAGTCATTTGACTGTGATGTGGTTTGTTTATAGCTGTACATTAGCTTTCTACTTCTGGCTATTGTATTTATGCTGCAAAAATCATAAAAGTGGTGTTCATTTGTGAGGATTATCTTGCTGAATAAAACATGTAAGTATTAGAGACAATGTCTACAATAATCCAAAATTCAATGGGAAAATGCTGTTGGCTTTTTGTAGAGGTCAAAGAGAAGCAAATGACCTTTAAACAGCACCCTATATACAAGATGCACAGTATGTGTACAGGATATGATTTATGGAGCTACATACTGTATATTCATGTTACACAGTGCTACACAGAGTTCTGATAAATGACTGTCTTTGAGCAGAAATGCAGAAAGCAAAATCCACCTGGCGATGATTGTCAGGCAACAGAAGCCCTTCCTTGTACCAGTTGATTGAGTAATAAGGGTACCCAATCACACGGCAGTTTATGAAAGAGTTTCTCCCTGCCACCGCAGTGATGTTCTTCATCGGCCGAATCCTCGGTGGACCTGATGGGGAGAGAGACAAAGAGAGAAATGGGCAGAGGGAGAGAGATGGAGATAAAGAGGAGGAGAAATGGGTTGACCAGAGGAAGAAAAGAGGGGGAAAAGAAAGAGATAATTAGTTGATGGTGTCAGAAGCAGGTTGTGGAATTTAAGGAATAAACGGGAGGGTGATAGGGAAGGGAGTTGGGGAGTAGGGTAGGGACAGAAGAAGAAAAAAGCATGTAGTAGTGGAAGGGGAAGAGAGAGAGAGGTTAGAGTGTCTTGCCTTTATGTTAAAAAGCTTCAATTCTGGAGGAGCTGCACACTCCTGCACAGTTTTTGTCGGTTTAATGGATTTTTAAGTCTAGAGAAATGCAGATACTCAGCTGTTTATAAAGCTACTTTTATAAGAACTAAAAATAAGCCTTATCAAATACCTTCAAAACTTACAATGTTTCATCTGTAAGCAGGAGAGAAAACAAAAAGTGGGTAAAAATGTTATGGATCCCGCCTCTGATAGTTCACACTGTTTCCCCGAGTAACACACAAACCAAATAGAGGAATATAGGAGTGCCAGACTTGAGAGCAGCAGCGACAGTGTTATTGTTTGCAGGTCAGACTGGATTAGCGATGGCAATTTCATTTAATGTTACTGACATTTAGACAAACAGACATTTAACGTAACCGACTACACAACTAGTCTACGAAGAGAGAGTAACAGAGAGGAAAGTGAGTGGGTGAAACAGCTGACAAAAACTAAACTGATTTTTAATTTCATTTTGTACTTTACGAGTGTCATATTTCCATATATGCGCTTTTATTCATGACCAACCACTCCCAACTGTCTTATGATGAATGTCTAGTAAACCCAAAGAGGACTACAGAGGAGATACACACACACTGATGCAACTGGGCTGGACAGTTTATTTAGGACATCCGTGCACAAAAAGAAAGGTGCTCAAAGTGCAACAAATAATAAAAGGCAAACGTTTCCGTCCTTGACTATCATCAGTGCTACCTTTTTTGTGGCTGTTAAGCACAGCTGCACTGGTATCTCCTCTGCCGTCCTCTCTTGGTTGTCCATTGTACCGACGCACCCAAGATAAACTTTCTTGTTGCCCTCAGTAGGCACAGTGTCACAGCAGCCCTTGGACTGTCTAGTAAACCTGACACATTTGTACTGGGTGCTACACCTGGACTGACAGGATCCTAATTCTGTTGCAGCCCTCCGATGCAGATTCATGGATTGTTTGCATCCATATGTGTGCAATGCACTTTTTAGTTACGTCAGGACACGGACAAAGCGCGGTGCATTTTCCATGGTTGCATAGTGCAACAAATGCATTGTGTTTTAACTAATGAACATGTGCTCTGTCAGCATTTGTGCTGTGATCTCTATGAAGGTCATACTACATGAGCTTAAGTATTTTGAGTGACGTTCAGAATGTGCAGTACTGACCACAGCAGGTAACTGGTAGACTACCAGGAACAAAACACATGTGAGTGACGTCATAAAGAATACAAATATAAGACAAAAATCAAGCTTGACTGCCACAATATGTTGGTCATATATCACCGCCAAAAGACGGAGAAGGCTACAGGCCGGCGGGCAGACAGACAGTCAGACGGACACAAAATGTGTTTAGCATTACTGGAAGACACTGGGAGCTATCACTCAATCATCCGTCACTTCTTCTCTGACCTTCTCACCATTGTTCATCTTGTATCTTTGTTTTTGTCTCTCCTTTCAGCCCTCCTACCCCCACTTCTCTCTCCCTCCTTCTCTCTCCTCCCTTTCTCAGCGTGCGCTGAGCTTTGAAGTCACAGCTCTGACGAGTGAAAGATGTATTATTCAGTAGCACCGTCGCGCAGACACACGCGCCGACACACATAGACACACACACAAACACATACACAGTATACACGTGCGTGTGTGCTCAGCGATGTCTGTGTGGCTCAGTGTTTTTTGCTGTTGGCCTCACGCTGAATGGGATAAGTTGAGTGTATCCGATTTCAGTGAGTGGGTAAGCGTACGAGTGTGTTACTGCTTTTTCATGTGTGGTTATGCGTGTGTGTGTCTGTGTTGGTTGTATATGTTGCATGTAGGGCTGAAGCTCTCTGGCAGTGGGGCTCATTCTCACTCCAATGATCGTTCTGGCTCTGTCTCCTTACAGCAGACTCACATGTCACAACTACACATCTCACCAAAGGACGGAGAAAAGGGGGAGAGAGAAAGAGGGAGAGAGAGAGAGAGAGAGATACAGCCCTGTCCGTCGGTGTCACTCCTCATCCTTGTCTGCTCCGACGACAGTGACATCACCAGTCCTGTCACCAGAGTTCACCATCACTCCCCCACCAGACACTGGCACTCCTCCCCTCCTCATTCCTCTTCTTCTCTCATTCCTTTCTCATATTCTCTCTCTTCCCTCCGTCTCTGGCCATCTGTTTCTTTCTCTACTAGAGTTTCTTCATCCATTTGTCTCACATTCCCTTAATCTCGCTTCCTCTCCTTTAGTCACTCTGTCTCTCCATATGTTAAGCAACAATCTCTTGATTTTAACATTTCATCTGCCTGCAAACATGTCCGTTTGCGCGTGTGCGCGTACAGGTAGGTGAAGTTGGTGGATGTGCTCATATATGTGCATTCACAAAGGCACATGTGCAGAGCTACAGTAACCGAGACAACAGGACAGTAAGCTGAAGGGACAGACAGCAAGAAAGAAAGACAGAATGAGACAAACACACACTATATGTGCTGCTGGAAGAACAAAACACTGACTGCTGCAGCTAATTAACATGTAAGTGTAAAGACTGACAAACATAACAAAAGAGAAAGAAAGAGAAAAACAAAAAGTATATACAATAAAGTAAAACACACATATAGAGATAGAGGTAGAGATATAGAAGGGTACAGGATAGGATATGGGTCAGGGTAGGGGTAGGGATCAGGCTATGAGAAGCCTCTGAATGACTGATATTGAAAAGTAGACAGGCACCTCTTACGTTTATGCGCGCTTGGTACTCGGCGCTACCGGCCGAGTTTCGTGCGGCGCACCGATACACTCCTCCGTCCCGAATCTGCGGGCTGCTGACGTTGACGTGGCTCACAGTGCTGCCGTCTGAGAGTGTGTACTGGCTGGCTCTGACACGCGACAGGTCCCGGGCCACAGGCTCGTCGTCAAGGGTCCAGGTGATGGTGGGAGGGGGGGCTCCTTTGGCAGCACACATCAGGGAAAACGGTTCACCCGGGACCACCACCCTCTCGCTGAAGGAGGCGACAATACGGGGTGTACCATCTGAGAAACAATCACAAGACAAGAGATGTGAGGTATGGATTTAGAAACAAAATGTAACAGTGTGTTACACTGGATTCAAATCAGCATTATGGTGGAAAAAATGACAGAGCTGGACCTTCTGTTACAAGAGACTGAATCACTACACTCAGAAAGCACATGAGCAGTTATTTTTGTAGTGTAGTGAAGTGTGTATGAGTGCATGTAGTTAATGTTGTTGCAAATAAAAATAACTGTAAATCATTCAAGAGATGCAGACACACAACTGTATATACACTGATCAGCCAAAACATTAAAGCCACTGACAGGTGAAGTGAATAACTTTGATTATTTTGTTCCAATGAATTGTTCTGCCAGGAAACCTTTCGTTCTGGCATTCATGGTGATACCCCCTGACATGTTCCACCCACTCAAACACCACTGCAGACCAAGTACTCCCCCCTCATGGCAACAGTACTCCACAATGGCAGTGGCCCCCCAGCAGAAAAAAGCAGCATGCCACACAACAAAAACCTGTTTAGAAATGGCCTGTGGAGCGTGAATTTCTCAGGTCCCAATCTGCCCAGATGTACTCCTACTCAAAGGTGGGGCCCCCTTGGATCGGACTTGGCTCTGACCTGTCGAGACACGGACACAGGATCTCTGGGAGTGTCCTGTGGTGTCTGGCACCAGTGCGTTGGCGGCAGATCCATTTAGTCCAGTGGGTTGTGAGGTGGGTTAATGGCACGTGGATCCGAGGAATTTGGAGGCCAGGTTGATATTTTGAGCTTTTTGTCACATTCCTTGGGCCATTCCTGAGCAGTGTTGGCAGTGTGGCATGGTGCATTATCCTGCTGGGGGGCCACTGCCATTGGAGAATAATGTTGCCATGAGGAGGGTACTTCGTCTGGTTTTAATGTTTTGGCTGATCGGTGGATATATAAAGTGGAAGCACAACACAACTTGCTCTTCAGTACTCTTAGTAGAGGTAAATATGTCATGTAAACCATGAGTAAGTATTGTCTCAAGCATATAAAGAATGGAGTGTCTATGTGCACCCGGATGAGACGAGTCACACTGCAGATATTCGGCTATTTACACCCATTCCTATGATGCTGTGATTGGCTATCACTTGTCAAGTTGACACGTCAAGGTCAGAGCAGTTAGAATAAAGGCAAAGAGGGCATGGTTAGGGTAAGTATAGCCAATCTCGGCTATTCTTTGAGATTAAAGTGGCAAATTTATGAGGAAAAAATCTCACAAATGTACTGCTGGAAAGTCGTGTGACGTAGTATAAAGAGCAACACCGTCCATGGAGGTAGTAAGGCACTGTGTGTGAGTGGCTTAAGCACAGGACTGGGAGACTGAGGTTTGACTCATGTGTGAGTGAATGCTGGCTAATTATTTTTAGACTTAGATGACTTGTCATTTTCAGTTTTCAGGATGTATAAAGCTGCTAAATCAACTTTAGCAGAAAAGCTGAATAGACCCATTTGTGTTCACATCATATTCTAATGTTGCTTGGACATCCAGGACTATAAACTTGGGTGTATATGGTCAGATTGGCTATTAACACCCCGGGGTGTAAATACTTTGCTACAGACACCTGGGTGCAAACAGTATCTGCCTACCGTATCGCTCTCATTCTGATAGCAGTGTAATAACCCAGCCCTTTTTACATTGACATTTATGACTGTACACCAACATGGTAATCCCTCTGCGTCCTCACCTTCCAGCAGTATGATGGAGAAGTCCTGCGCTGTCTGGCCCTTGCGCGTGGCAAAGCACTGGTAAGCTCCCGAGTGTCTCTTTTGTGCAGCGGAAATGAATAATGTTTCATTGTGAGCCCCCTGGATGGAAAAGTGCTGATCGGGCAGGACAGATTCTGTGTTACGGTACCAGGACACCGTAAAATGCGGGGAACCCTGGACGGCACAGGATAGGATGACTGTGCTGCTGATTCCTGTCTTCAAGTTCTTGGGGGACAAGGTGACCCGCAGTGGCTCTACAGAAAGGAGGAGGAGCAGACAGAGCAGGGTTAACAAAAAAAAGAAAGACAAGAAGTCATACCTTCTCATACAAGTTACTACCTAAGCACTGGAGGTAGAGGACTTGGTGGTATCACTTGCAATGCTGAATGAAAGCAATCTGAATTGAGCTACGCTGTGCTGGCCAGGCAACACAAATCATATTTTGGTGTTATTGTGTATTTGTTTTTTGTGTGTCGGGCTTTTTACCATTACTTGTGTGTGTGTGTGTGTGTGTGTGTGTGTGTGTGTGCTAAGCAGCGAGCAAAAGCGAGACAGAAAGAGAGAAAGGGGAGAAAATGTCAGTGAGCAATAAAGCAGCTGGTGTTAAGCGCTGGAGGCTGCTGAATGTGTGTGAGCATGCGTGTGAGGGAGTGACAGTGCATGTGCATGTGTAAGACTTTCTTCATGGGCAGTAAGCGCATGTACTGTAAGTGTGTGTACAAATGTGTGTGTGTGTGTGTGTGTGTGTGTACCACCTTCTATGCCCTGTCATAGGAGGTTTGTGGGTTTTGCAGTGATGTGCCCTGTGGCCAGTCTGCCCAGTGTCCACTAACTTCACCCTTTTCCCAACTACATCTCCTCCCTCCACCTCCTCCTCTGCCCCCCCCCCCCCCCCCCCCCCCCCCCCCCCCCCCCCCCCCCCCCCCCCGTTCCTCTCCACAAGCGTGCCATCTTCTCCACCAGCCTCACCTCCTCACATCTCTTTCATTCATACACACATTATGAAATTTTCTCTGTCTTCCCCCCCTTCTCTCACACGTCTTCGGTAAACAGAGCAACAGACCTACACGACCACTGTTCTGCTCTGTCACCACAGTGACGTCTCGCTGGGGTTTGAGAGCACAGCGGGGGAACGAGCCGTCCTTGGAGATCAAGCTCACGCTTGGCCCAGACGAGGGTGGGTTAGAGGGGGGCGTGTAGGAGGCACGGGGCCAGGGCAAAGCCAACAGAGCTTAAATGATGACTCCATCGCGCCTGTTCATGACCTGACATCACATTCATTATGTCTGTCCATCTCACTCTTTTGCTCCAACTGTAGTTGTCAGTGTAGAACAGTGGAGGTCATGAAGTGATCTGTGACACTTTGTTTGGTCACAGGACTTGAATATGTTTTATCACTACACTCTCTTCAGGGCTTCACTCACCTATGACGTTGAGGTGACCTGTCACCTCTTTGGAGCCAAAGCTGTTGGTGACCTCACAGATGTAGTTGCCACTGTCCTCGAGCCTTAAATCCGAAATGGTGAGGCCAGTGATGCGCCGCGTCCAGCGGGAGTCTGCAGGTAATGGCCGACCATCCTTCAGCCATCGGATGGTGGGGTTTGGGTATCCGGATGCAATGCAGGGCAGCTCCACACTGTGCCCCACCTGCACCTCACCGGACTGGAAACTGTCCAGCACTGACGGGGTGGACTCCGTAGGGTCTGAAAGTAAAGCAAGGGAAGGAAATGTTATTTTCATTTGGAATCATCAGTACTTTAACCAATCTTTTAATCCTTACATGAAAAGTTAAACATGTTGTGAAATCAGTTATTCACATTTTTGAGAAGTGGATGGAAAGACTGATACAAGTCTCATTTGTGTACAGTGAATATAAAGCTACCACTACTAGATGGTTAGCTTATCTCAGTACGAATAAGACAAGAGGTGCACACAGTGGAGCAAAACTTATGTGAGCTTGAAACACAATGTGCAGATGTCTTGTCAGATTCTTGCCTTATGTTTTTTGGATGTGTGTACCCTCCACCCTGGTTAGCTTAGCTTAGCTTAGCTTAGCTTAGTACATAGACTCTGACCGGGGAAACAACTAGTCTGGCTCTGAGTTTTGTTCTGCACTTGTTTTGGTCACGCATAGTAACTTCCTGTCTTTACTGGTTGTCTGACACCATCACAGTGACAAAGTGACTCCAGTAAGTGACTGGGCATGGCAAAGAAATGGTTATGTTTGGCACAGAACTGACTGTAACACCACAACATGTTTATTTTTACACTTCAGTTTTAGTATGAACTACACAAACAAGATACTACATGCTACTTAGTGAGCTTTAAAGCTGCTTGTAGTTGGATTCGGTTCAGTCAGGCTAGCTGTTTCAGCTTGTTTCCAGTCTTTATGCTAAGCTAAGCTAACTGTCTCCTGGCTGTGTGTGTGGTTAAAATATTTATTTAACTCCCAGCAAGAAAGCAAATAAGCATATTTCCCAAAATGTTGAAACATTCCTTTCTGTAACTAAAACCTCCAACTCTGTCTTGTAAGTCTGTTGTGAAAAACAACTGAAAAAGCCAAGCCACTGGTCACACACTCACGCTTTGACTCACGCTTTGGCATTTGGTGACTACTTTGAGTGGAAATGGTAACTAAACGTTGCCTACCCATAACAGAGAGCCTGGCTCCATTGCTCTGGCGAGTCTCTCCACTGTACTTGTGCTTTGTGATGCAGCGGTAGGTGGACAGAGCATCTTCCTTCTGCACTTCTGAGATATACAGAGCGCCAAATGAGGTCAGGAAGAAACGGTTACCTGTGGAGGACAGCAGGGGGGAACAGGTAGGAGAGGGGAGAAGGATTCGTTAGTCAACATATTTGAGAAACAAAGTAAAACAAAGGCACATCAATTACATGTAAAGTAATGCGAAGATCATAGGATAAAGGTTATTGAGGCCAATCTAAGATCTGTGATGTTGGGCTATATAAATAAATTGACTTGAGTTGTGTTTATGTAGATTAGAGGTGTCAAACTCATTTTAGCTCATGGGCCACATGCAGTCCGATTTGATCTCAGGTGGGCTGGACCAGTAAAACCACTGACCAGTATCCTTAAATCCTTAAACACCTCAAAACTGTTCCCTTTTTTTGTTTAACAAAGTTCATTTTAAAAGTGCTCATCCGACAACAAATAGCCTGTGACTTCTTGAGACTAAATCTAAAATAAATATTCACTATTCTGTTGTATGTGTTGTAAGACATATTTGTAATTGCTCTTGATATAAAACATCTTCTGTTTTCATTATTTTTCATTTCTATAAATTTGCAATTGGTGGGAAAAAAGCAAATCAAGTGAAGGAAAACTGCTGTTGCGTGATGGAAAGGTCGTGTTAGATGTGTGCCGTTTTGGAAGTCGGTGAGAAATGCCAACCTCTCCATCTTAAAGCCCTCCTGACACACCTGGAGCACATTTTTCTTAGAAATCACTGATGTCAGAGGAAAGAAAAAGCAGGACTAGAATATACATGCCTTCAAAAGGCCCAACCACAGCACTTAGGTGAACACATGGGAGCTTTTAACAGACTCTGTCCCATCCATCTAGTGAGATATACACAATAGAGAAAGAGCGATGAGGAGGAAGAAAAAGAGAGAAGAGAGAGGGGAGTTATTGTAGGTGTTAATAATTGATGTCTCTCTGTGTGTTATGGTAACAGCAGATTAGTGTCATTTTCATTTCACATCAGTGACTGCTTGGTCTGCCTCTGATTTATCTACATGTCAATAGAGACAGCACGTGCACGTGTGTGTGTATGTGAGAGAGAGGAAGAAGAGAGGGCAGAGATGGAAGGATAAGAGACGAGGAGAGTGTATTTCGGTGTTTGATTCTTTCCGCTTCTCTGAGTCTTTTTGTATTCTCTTCCCCCAAAGGGTTATTTTAGACAGTGTGCACTTCAGAGTTTGTAGTAGATTGCAGATTGTTTGGTTATGTGAATGCTATTGCAGCGTGTGTGTGTGTTTGTGTGTTAACATGCTGGCTGTTGTTTGCTGTACATGATGTTTCAATGTCTTTTTGCAATGTTGACAAGAGAGGACTTGAGTAAAACACAGGTGCATTGAATAGCTGAACACTGGAAATACGTACTGCACACTGGGGCTGTAATGGTTCATGTATTTGTACACAAGTGTTATGGTACAGGGGTCACGGCCCAGTGCATGCAGTCACATAGAGAATACACAATGTGTAGATTGAAGCACGTAATGTGAGACCAAAGTTCCAAAGCACAAATTTCACCAGGAAACTTAAAGCTGTACGCCGTTAGCAACAGGTGCTGAGGTTAACACAACAAGCTGCTAGCAAAGCGAGTAAGTCACACTATGGCAAGAGCCAATGAAACACTGGAGCTGGAGGACCTGCCTGCGTGTTCCCGTTCAGCTACAATGGCAACGGAGACAGAGCTGTGAATAAGACAAGGATGGTGTATCAGTGTTGCTCCACAGTAGGTAGGTCTGAGAAAGCTAACACATCCAACATGCTAATGCACATTGGACGGCATCATCCAGATTTAAATATAGCCATGTAGAGCTTAGATGTTTTTTTTTTTTTGTTTTTTTTTTTGTTTTTAAATCTTATTAGTCTATGTATTTTGGTATTTTCACCTTTATAGCCTATTGTGTCTTGTTGCCTTCTGGGAATGGGTTTGTTCATATGGTGTAACTGCTTGAAATGTTCCTTATTTTAAAAGATAAAATAGTTTACCAAAGTTGCCAGTGTGCAAAATGTTACCTCAGTCTCCAGCAGGAGAATTTTGACTGTCTTTGACACTACTGTCTGTTCAAAATAAATAAAAATAAACATATCCTTATGCATTATTTTTCCTGCCGTACCAAAGTCAACTGAAAACATGACTCCTAATCCGGGGTATGAACCAAACCGTGACCTTCATGTACCGTTACACTCCGAAACACCCACACACACACACCTTCAAGCAACAGGTCAACACCTAGTTGAAGCAAATTTATTCTGAAAAACTTAAGGTGCTAGATGTTAGACCTGTTTAATTGCTGATGAAAAGAGCATGTTCACATGGAGTGTGAAAAAAAAAATCAGTACTAAAGCTACAGTTTTGGATGGTTTTGATTTTGTTCTTCAATGATTCAGTATTGGTAATTAATGATCAGATATTCTCAGCTCTTACTCCTACATTTTATTTAACAAACTGTCTTTATTTTTTAGTATGAGTGTGTGCATATCTGTTTCTGCATGTATGCATCTAAAAATGTCGATACGTGATTTTCTGCGTGTATCAATGAACATGTGTAGATATGAACGAGCAAGTATCAATAACCAAGCTTGTGTGTGTGTGTGTGTGTGTGTGTGTGTGTGTGTGTGTGTGTGTCCTGCCACAATGTGAGCAACAACAATCGATGCATTTTATAGCTGCACCACTCCATCCAAAAGAGATTTATTAAAACAGAGAGGGCTGGCCTGGCTCCATGCCACACACACACACACACACACACACACACACACACACTCTAACAAGACTGAGATGTGAAGAAGACTGAAGGCTTTACTTCTTGTGTCAAAGCTGCCAAGTTTTGACTGACTAAACAAAATGTGCATTATTCCAAATTACAGTGGAGCTTCTCATACTCTGTTCATTTCAGTTATTATCGATTAAGCTGTTGAATATTTTTTGTATCATTCTATAGGTCAAATAAATGTGGGGAAATTTCAAAAACCCAAGCAGACATTGTTCAACAAACAGCCCAAAACCCAGAGATATTTAACTGACTATGACATAAAACTGGGGGAAAACAATAGCGTAATTTAGGTTATGATATAAGCTGAACAATTAAACTATAGTCAAATAGTTATGGCTTTATTTTTGACTAATCAGTTAATTCAAATTAATGAACTTAACACATACAGTGCAGCTTACACTCCCCAACTCTAAATGTCAGATCTGTCCGACTGATAGAGAGCAGCCAGCCAGAGAGAACGTCTACATTATATTCAGTCTATAAAAGGCATTATAATATCTGTGTGTGTGTGCGTGCGTGTGCGTGTGCGTGTGCGTGTGTGTGTAACTGGGCTGTCAGATTTCTTAATATATGTATACATATTTGTAGCTGTCGGCCTGTGCATCTGCATGCATATGTGAAAGTTCACACACACGTGTTTTCATGTGAGTCAGACTGTTGTGCTGAGTGCTAAGCGACGTAAGCTGTAATTTCCAAGCCTGCCCTTTTGTTCCAATCTGGGTATTAAGCCTTACAGGATAATATGCACTTGGTGAGTAGAACCCTGTATAACACACTGCTACACCCTGTCACAACATGCCTGGAGAGAGGAAGACGGACCAGAAGGGGGTGGGTAGAGTAAGAAATTCAGAGATGGTTAAGAATGGAGAGAAAAGAGAGTGGAGCATGGGAGATTAATGAGAAGGAGCTCGTCAGAGCTGGTTATAAAAGGAAACTTCTTCTGTACTTATTTTTCCTGGATAATCAGTTAATTGTTTACTTCTTAAAATGTCAGAAAATCATGTAACGTTCATCACAGTTTTCCAGAGTCAGAAGTGACATCTTCAAATTTCTTGTTTTGCATCAAACAGTACAGAGCATGATGGGAAGTGTGGTACTGAAACTCTGAACATCCCTAATGATACAAGAAAATGAAAAATGCAGGACGTTTTAAAATTTTAAACCATCAATATATTTTTTGGCAGCACTAAAGCACAGAATGTCCAATTAACATGGTTTCCACTAACCTGGTCTCACTTCAAACTCATCAAATGCTGATGCTTGGTCAGTGGCCCTCAGCATCAGGTACCAATGCACAGAGACACCCATTAGTGGCAGTGTGAGATGCACCAGGCAGAGGTATATTTGACACTTGGAGCAACTGTTGTAGTATAAAGAGCGAGAAAGTCTACATAGGGCGGGCGGGAGCGGAGGTAAATGGCTCACACAAAGTCTGGACCTTCACCCTGGACACCAGGTGTTTTTTTTTCCCCCATCAATCCATCCATCCATTTTCAACAGCTTATCCGAAGCCAGGTTGCAGGGGCAGCAGGCCAAGCAAAGCACCCCAGACGTCCCTCTCCCCAGCCGCTTTCCAGCTCCTCCTGGAGGACCCTGAGGCGTTCCCAGGCCAGACGAGATATGTAAACCGTCCAGCGTGGTCTGGGTCTGCCCCGGGGCCTCCTACCAGTGGGATGTACCTGGAATACCTCCAACAGGAGGCGCCTAGGAGGCATCATGATCAGATGCCCGAACCACCTCAACTGACCCCTTTTGACGCGAAGGAGCAGCGGTTCTACTCCGAGCTCCCACCAGATGTCCAAGCTCCTTACCCTAGCTCTAAGGCTGAGCCCAGCCACCCTATGCAGAAAACTCATTTCGGCCGCTTGTATCCACGACCTCATTCTTCTGGTCATTACCCAGAGCTCATGACCATAGGTGAGGGTTGGGGCGTAGATGGACCAGCAAATATCTTAGTAGCCTAAAGTACCTCGAGAATAGCAATGTAAGGTATGTCCATCTATGTCATGTGGTGACTATGCTGTTAGCCTGTAAATAAAGGGAGTGAAGACCAACCAAGGACAGTCAAAAGACTGATTAATCAGTTAATCATTTCAGCACCAGAGTGCTTCACTAGAGTGGCATATGAAGCTAAGTATCTTATCCCCTGTCTTCTTTTAACTGTTCTGCGATCAGCCTACGCCTCTCTTCTTCTGTCCTGTTTTCACTGCTGCACTTCCTACTTGATATCTAATTTCTAGTCACTGCCTGCTCTCCTGCTGTCTGTGGAGA